ATTTTTGAATAGTTGAAAACAACTAAAATGCCTTTTTTATTTTTCAGAGAAGGCTAGTAGAAATGCTTATGGTGGAGCATAATAAGGTATAATCCATATCAGTATTCACTGGCAGAATAACTAGAGTGACAGTGACGGAGAGTCTCCCTGGCGTATACCTCCCACCTGGATATCATGGTGCATGCAAAACTGTGATACTGAAACGCCTTTCCCCGACCAGTGCTTTTAAAAGTAAATAAGACAATAGGTCACCAATTTCACCTTTAAGATTTCTAAACTACCAAACCATCCAATTGATCCTAATCCTTATACCAACAACCACCAATATCAACAACCACCGACATCAACAACCACCAATATCAACAACCACCAATATCAGCAACCACCAATATCAACAACCACCAATATCAACAACCACCAATATCAGCAACCACCAATATCAACAACCACCAACATCAACAACCACCAATACCAACAACCACCAATATCAACAACCTTGACTACCATCAGCAACCAATATCAGCAACCACCAATATCAACAACCACCAATATCAACAACCACCAATATCAGCAACCACCAATATCAACAACCACCAATATCAACAACCACCAATATCAACAACCACCAATATCATCAACAACCAATATCAACAACCACCAATATCAACAACCACCAATATCAACAACTACCAATATCAACAACCACTAATATCAACCACCTTGACTACCATCAACAACCAATATCAACAACCACCAATATCAACAACCACCAATAGCAACAACCACCAATATCAACCACCTTGACTACCATCAACAACCAATATCAACAACCACCAATATCAACAACCACCAATATCAACAACCACCAATAGCAACAACCACCAATATCAACAACCTTGACTACCATCAACAACCACCACCAATATCAACTACCACGACTACCATCAACAACCACCAATATCAACAACTATACATGTATTAACCTAGTAACGAACCAACAACTACTATTACCCGAACTAAAGTGGTGAGTGTATTTATAAGACTTTGTTGTCATCAATATCCTCTTAAACAGGCGTGACACGGAAATAGAATCTCTGCACTGTAAGTGAATAACATCTTTATTTGTTACGACTGTCTAACACCAATAAAGTTTTTCTCTTGTCTAGTCATTTCCTGGACACCACCTTTTTTCTGAAAGTTTGAATTAAAAACACGTTTTTTTGACTCCAGCATAACACGATTTACTAATGTATCGTTTAATATTGAGAGCAGTATTAATTGGTCACATCGATTTGTAAATTTTCTTTCTCGCGTCTACTTCAGTCTGGTTATTTTTTCCTGGTGAAATGATGATGAGCTATTGATTATTGATTATTGATTAATTATTCATTTTGATGAACGGACAGGATTCATTGAACTTCATTTTACGAAGAAGAATGAGAAGATCTCATCTGTGTTGTTACAGGCTATTAGTAGAAGTTAGACGCAGACAGAACGATGCTCTGTTTTGAAGAAAAAACACACAAAGTGCTGAGATTGGATGTAGCTGATGTTTAATGAAGATTGGACAGTGTCCCGTACTATAGTAAATACTCTGTGTATGGATACATGAAAATTAATTTACTTTAAGTTTACTATTCATTTACAAGTGAACACAAGTGATTGTGTTATTTATAAAAGAAGTGAACACAAGTGATTGTGTTATTTATAAAAGAAGTGAACACAAGTGATTGTGTTATTTATAAAAGAAGTGAACACAAGTGATTGTGTTATTTATAAAAGAAGTGAACACAAGTGATTGTGTTATTTATAAAAGAAGTGAACACAAGTGATTGTGTTATTTATAAACTGTGTGATTGAAATTGGAAAAGGTCCTGTACTAAGGTAAATACACTGTTAATGGATACGAGATGTACTTTGTGTTGAATGTTTTCGAAAACCAATCACTCATATAAACATTAGTCACAGTTCATAGTTCAATAACCATTGTCGTGGACAGTATATACCCATGTGGAATTACCTTGAAACAGGTGGTCGGTGATTCTATAATTGTATAAGTGCGAACCATTTTCTGGAACATAACGCAGAGCTAGGTGATATCTGGTAATTCTAAAAGCTGGCTATAGTACTACAGTGGACAATTTTTAAAAATAAATACAGTGTTGAGCATTTCAATATACAGACAATAGTACAGAATTAGCCATAGTACAATAAACCAAAGGACAAACACCTACAGCTAGATTTCAGGAACAATGACACTCTCAAGGAAAATATTTGCTTTTATTGTGCTGCTATGCCTAGTATTGTTCTGTATGGTACCGTTATTCAAAATAAATGACAGTTGGGTGGAGATGAACCCTGTTATACAGTTTCAGTAAGTATTGCTTTGAAATATGTCCAATATAGTTCTTTACTTTTTTTCCCCAAAACACCGAAAGTCCAATAGCTCAGCCAAACCAGGTCCATAGGCCAGACTTGATAGTTCAGAGGGGCAAGCAATATATCTGGAGGGGCATTGTATGGTGTTTAGTTGCAGTATTAGAATTATAAACATTTTTTCACGGATGCAATCCATTTTTCCGGGGGCAGCATTACATTTTTAAAGGAGTGGTACGATTTTGTACAATTCTAGTATTTGAATAGTTTATATATATATAAGATCTGTCGAATCTGTCCCTTGAAAGCTATCAAGGCCTTCAGTCCCCGGACTGAATTAGACCTGCCACCATAACTGAAACTTGACACTTTTTGTAGCATTCCAGGTTTTAGTGATGTTAAAACTAAAATTGTTCACTGGATAGTAGTGACTACGGTATCCTCCTCACCTCAAGACTACATTAACCAGTTGTCTACCAATTTACCACTGTGGAATATCGTAATTGTGGCCAACCATAAAACACCAAGCAATTTAAAGTAAGTTATTTTCTGCAAACGAAAAGGGAGTAAACTTAGGTTCCTGCTATAGTAACATTTCCTCAAGGGGTAGGCAACCTTTTAAAGCCTCAATTAAGTCTTAGCCATATTTGTAACTGTCAGACCGCAAGTAGTCCGTCTAACTTGATGTCTTGGAAGATGGAGACAATTAATATCAGTGAGTGTAAAACTCCATTTCATTCCTAGATAACAATTTCAGCACTGTATTTTATTTTACAGGTGTAAAAAATGTTTTGTACTGAGTGTCAAAACTCAAAATACGTCACCATTTAAAATCGGCAAAAATAGTTCTCCAAAGAACATTGGATATCTCTACGCTATATCTCGAGGAGCGAAGTTTATTTACGACACAGAAGAGAGTTATCTCCCTGTCAACAAGTTAGCGGACTTCTGGTTGGCGGGAGATACGACTGGTCTTATTTATAACGGTCAACAACATGTATTTGATGTGTACAGACATTTCGGACGCTCTTCAATAAAACAACGAGGCTTTCCACTCAGGATGAAACGACCACCCCGGGACAACATCTTCAAACTTTCAAACAATTTCAAAACACCGTTAATACAACACGCGCTAATCAATGGTGACCCGGATATTGATGAAATTATCAAAATGGCGTTAAGTTCTAAAACCATCAAAGCTAATAAGACTTTTGACGAGAGAACGCCACCAGTTGTTATTCCCAAAGGAGTTATGGCGCCTTATAATTCTAAAAATACATTGTTTCTGGCTGATGCATTCTGGGCTTTGTTACTTCCGGTGACGTCATTTGAGTCTAACCGTGATATCGCGAGATCTTATTGGGGTCAAAGGTTATTATGGGAAATTGGAGGCACTGTGGGCTTCTTTCCGCCTAATATGTTTCATCAACATGCCGTGAATGGCGAATGGAAGAGTGGCTTTTTTAAATCGTCAAGATTAGTTGAGTATCTGCTAAAATGGAAGTGTCCCGAATCGTTCCAATTTGTAAAATGCGTCGAGAAACTGAGTGAAGATTTAATGGAGGAAAGGTTATGGAGTAAAGAGGATTATATTTTAGTCAAAAATTGGTTAATAGATTTAAAGACAATAGGATATAAATTTCCTGACCGATCTCAGTTTACTACTGTAGAGAAAAATGATAGAAACGTTGTGTTTTCCCCGTCTGTGATATCAGAAGAGTCTGCTTATTCTTCTAAATGGAAACAAGTGATTGCTATAACCAACCATTGTAAAGACAAAGCGTATCAGGTCACTAGCTCTAGTATGAGAGCGGAGCCTCTATCTGATATTTTACTTATAGTGGTATTCAATACGCCTTATTATAACAATATACCTCATATAAACTTAATATACAGCGTCACGTTTGATCATATAGTGTATTGTGGAGATGACTTCAAAAAATTCCAAAAAACTTCGAAATCATTCCCGAAATCAGTCACTTTTATAGCACAGTCAGTCGACAATGGATACTCAGTTGAAAAATGTATTTCTGTTGCTATGAAACTCAACCATAAAGTCACCGGGTACCTGCTTATAGGGGACGATACTCTCTTAAATTCCTGGAATATTCGTAAATTTCCAAAAGACAAACCGTGGTTTCATGGTTTTGTGCCTATGTTCCGTGATAGGAACCATCCATGGCACTGGTGGCAAACCGGTGTTGGTCGACAACCTTTTAATAAAGCTTGGGCAAAATTAACACATATCTCAACTAACGGCTCTATTACGGAATTAACAATAGTGAAAAATTATATGCAAATTTTAAAAAATAACACCGGAAGTGACCTCGGGGTTTACCACTGTCCGTCCGATATCGTTTATATTCCATATAAGTACAGAGACACCTATATATTAATCAATGACGTTTACTCCCAATTTAATATATTTTTAGAAATTGCCATACCAACTGTAATAGCAGGGTTATGTCCCTTGAATCAAATAGTAGAGTTGAAGGGGCAATATTTGTGGTACGATGGAAAACGAAATAAAATTCCACAATATTTTAAAAAGGACGAAGTTTTTATTCATCCAGTGAAACTTTCTCAGATTCAGACTAGTTTGAAGCCATTTTTCTGCCAAACTTTATTCCCTCTGCTGGTGTCCGGCCATAAAAACTCTACCAAAATCGTGCCATATATTACTGGACCTGTCCAACAAATTGGACCTTTATAGTGTTATTTTGTTGGGCTTTTTGATTAAAGAGATTGTAAAAAAGTTAAACTATTTATGTGTGTGTGGGGGACATTTATTTGCATCATCCAAATTTTCTTATGTCAGATGTCTATGGTTCCTGTAATTAAAGAAGTGCTATGCCTTGTACATCATTTGCCATCATGAATACATCATTTGCATACATCAATACATCATTAATATGGATCAGGACATCATTTGCATGCAGTAATATTTCATTTGCATACATTAGTATTTAATTTGTGTAAATTTGCATATCATTTGCATACACCAGGACATCCTTTGCATACACCAGTATATCAATAGCATATTTATTCCGCACATCAATACACCTTTTGCATACATGTTCACGTGAATTTTTTTTTATACATCTTGGACCTTATTCGTGAAAAGGCAACTTAAGATGATTTAAGTGTTCCAGTCATCTGATTGGTCGATTATAAATTTATTTTGTTATCCAATGAGATTACTGTATTTCTTAAGATCTGGATTTTATCTGAGATCAGTTTATAAGAATATGCCCCATGCAGGTATTTCGTTATGAAAAACTTTTAAAATGATGTATTTTTTTTTTATTGCTACGTTATTGATCTTGTTTATCGATTGATAACGTTTCGAAGATTTTTCTCTATATTTTGAAATGAGAGTAAAAAGCGAGAATTTTATGTTTGTTATTTATTGGTTTTATAGCAATGGAAATAAATTGTTATAAACTGAAAAAAAAAAAATTCTTATGAATAGCTACGTTTCGACGACGTTACACCTTCATTTGCAATGCTTTGTTCTGTAACATAGTAGTAACTCGTCTTTCTGTCGAGGGCTCTAGATTGGTCAACCAGTGTGCTTTTGATTGTTTATAGAAACAACAGAATGGGGGCTGAGAGAGAGAGAGAGAGAGAGAGAGAGAGAGGGGGGGGTGGTGTTGATAAACAAAAAGTATCATCATTATTAATATTTTATTATAATGGCGAAATCATAACAAGTTTAAATATATCTAAAAAATATTCTTAAATACGTTTTAATAAATTACGAAAAATAAATACAAAATAAACAAACATAAATACCGTCAATCGAAGGAGAGTCAGCCCAATCAGGGATGTCGTCTGGTCCCGAATTTCCAAGAGTTTTGTCTCCAAAAGTTTAGGATACCTGATTGTGATAGACCCTTTCTATTGCCCAATAGTGAGTCATGCTCACGAGGCTTCCTATCGAACAAAAGTGAGACTTCTACAAAAAAATAAGAAGTCGCAAATGACTCAATATTGCCCCGTTCCACGAAAGCTGGACTAGATTGTGACGTCACAAATATAATTCAAAGCTCATTGCATAGATCGGTTGCAGTATAAATTTCTATTTACAAAGGGTTTCGTAGAATCGTCTGTTTACATGCTATAAATAAACTGTTTGCATGGTTACAACTCTGGCACTAAATGGCTTAAGCCAAAGGCACTGATATTTTAATATGTTATTTTTGACATTATCGAATTGAAAATTTATAACGGTTATGCTCGTACGTTAATCTACGATATTTTAAGAAACGAGATCCAGCTTCTAAAATCTGGAAGTGATTAAATAACTATGTTTAACAATATGTTAAATTAATATTGTCCTGTTCCAACAAACTTCTCCTTTTTATGAACTTCATTTGGTTATTATTTTTTTTTTTTTGAAAGAGTCTCATATTCGATTAGTTTAGCTATTAGCTGTATTATCAACTCCACATTAAGGTCGTGGTATCAATTCTTCAAAATATATCATATCAATAATTGAAACACACTCGAACTTAAAGTATATGAAACCCACAAACAAGTAATATTCTAGAAATACAAGTATTTACAATGCAAAGGAATGTTGTAAAGAGCAGGGGAAATATCACGATCGAGACGAGAGTTTGTATACAGGTTCAGAAATAGTCTCAATACACATTCTCCATTCTGAACAATCACAACCACTCAGCCACGCCAGCAACCTCGCACAATAATAGTTATAATATAGCCTATATTCTAGGCTAGTGGCAATATCGTTTTATTCACTACACCAAAAAAGATCTCTTCCAGCTCTGGGGCGTCTTCTGTTTATAAATCTAAAATAAGAAAGAAATTTATTAAATGTAAAATATAATGCTATGTAACATAAGAAGCTCCAGTGGGTCGCTATGTATTTTTCAAATTTGCGCCATATATCAGCAAACTCGGCCTACAATTTTAAAGGTATATGACATTGAGATGTATAAACAAATATTTAGACGGCTGTATCTCTTAAAAAATGTAGCGAAAATAAATTGTGTTATGACTCAAAAGAGACTATGTGTATTGAAGGTGCCCCATGTCGACCACCAGTTTCGTATGGTTGCAAATAATGAAAGTGGTCACCCTCTTAACGTGCAAATAGACGAGGTACGGTCTCCAGTGCGAGGTCATCGATACAGTAGAAGTAGAAGCTAATCATGTCCGAACCCGTACGTCGTGTGTCCCCTTGATCTATTTTCTACTGTATCCATAATCCTGCATCGTACATCGTACACCGCACCGTACATCGTACATCGCATAGCGGCTTATTTTTATTCGCAAGAATCCCCAACTGGTAATCGCTATGGTGTGAGGGCACCTTATCACAAGAGTTCAACATGTGTTCGAGGGCCTTATTTCTGTGCTCATTTAAACTATATATATTACCGTGTGCTATATGGATGATGCTATATGGATGGTGCTGAAGTCCTGAGTTTTGTGAATCGATATTGAATACACTGATCATGCTAAGAATGAATTAAAGGGGAATAATCCTGTGATTTTTCGCTTGGATGTTTAGGACTCGTGATAGTCACTGGACAGAATTCACCGGCATGAAAAAATAAGGTACGGATCATAAATGTCTCAAATACAGGACTTGACCGACTAACTTTTTAATTTTTTTGAATTGTCCAAACATTTAAAAGCATCAATAAGTGCAGAAAATGGCCTAGGCGTAATTTTACTTTTTGTTTAGCCTTTGCTGTTTTGGGTGTTGTTTAACTCCAAGCCAAAGCGAAAAAATCCAGGATTATGTCCATTTGAATACAATCTATATTAATTAGAATAAAATTTCGTTTCTTTTACATTTTTTGATATTTTTCGTCTCAATTATAATCTAACAAGTTTTCTGGAACGTCATTTGGAACTCTTTTCTTGATAACGAGGACGAATTGTGGGATATTGAAACCCAAAGGAAAGTAGAGCTAGAGTAGAGTAGAGCTACACCAGAATTCGTTATGTTTTCATCCAAAAGAAACGAAATTGTATTCTAATGAAGAGAGCGAGCAAGAAAAGACCATCACCTACATGAAGATGTATTCAACTCTATAGCATTCACACAACTCCATGTTTGACCAATAATCCTAGCAACAGTAGAAAATATGTTGCTTTGTTAATATTAGCGACCATAGCCACACCACTAGTTATGGAACCAGTTCTAATTGTCATGAAATTAGGTTGACTTAAACTTAGGGTCAAATTGTCACTTGAACTTTGTGTTGTCGGGGTCAAGGTCGTTGTTGGGAACTCACCATTACAGATTCGATTCAAACAATCTTCTTTTTTCTTTTCGTCTTTCAAGTCTTCAAATGATTTGAATTTTATCACGTGTTCAGGTGACTTTGCAATTTTTGTCACCTGGTCTGTTTTGTAGTCACTGCCAATGGCCATGACGAAAATTTCAATATTGTCAAATTTCGCTCGGCTGACTTCCGACATCACTCTTTTTTCAACATCTAAAACGTCGTCCATAAACAAAATGGCGATCTTTTTTACTTTGTCTCGTCCGCCATGTTCTCTATCATAACCATGTTGACGCAATCGCCTTATAATGGAACTTAAAGTTGGAACTTCCTGTTTTTCTAGTTCTTGTATGAAGGAGTTTTTATCGGTATGGTCTGCAAGAGTTATATCACCACGGTAACAGTTAGTTGTTGTGATACCAGTTCGAATATTTCCAGTCACCATATTGAAATTCTGAACGATGTCCGCTACGAATTTGTTGATTTTGGCAACTTTTCTCGATCCTAGACTACCGGCATCATACACGAACATAATATCGGCCTTGACATTTTTACCACATGCTGTAATGTAAGTTAATAAGTTATATATACATGTAGATTAGACCTATTTACATAATATATCTAGCCTATCAAACATGAATAATTCTAATGAACAGCAAACATCCCTACATTTACAAACTTCCGAAATAAAAGGAACGTGGTTATTGAAGTCAAGGTATAAGATGGAGTTCGTAATAGCTTGACATTGTGAAGATGGATTCATATATCATTCCATTGAATATCTTTCATCTCAAGCTACTAGAAGATATAGTAGTCAATTAGGATACCTAATAAATAATATAAGCTATGTGGACTGTCCACAAGAGATGCTGTGTTGCAGAGTGATATCAGGATACCAGAAGAGTAAGCATATCCTGAACCGCTAGGAGCATTCTTCTCACACTGGTAGATTGGTGACTGACTAACTACAAATCATCAAAAATGAAAATAAAAATCGTCCCTTACCTGGTTGGTCGCCTTGAGGCAGCTCAACTGAAAAATTTACAAAATACAAAATTATTAAAACGACGCCTAAAAACTCCATACTGATTTGCTCTTTAAATTTCCTTTTTAAAAGGTTTGATCGATTTCTTCAAATAGTCTTGTCTGTTGTAAAGTCTGTTTTTTAGGAATTTTTATGTCAGTGAACTATTAACAAATAAACCGGGAAACCGTTGAAACAAATTTGTCAAATAAGTCTCTTATTTCGTTCCATGAAAGATAGAAGCATTTAATATAGAATTAAAACACAACGTCAAAAACGTAAAATCCAGCTAATATCATTATCCATCATCTAGATATTGTCTTTCACTGTTAAAATAATTATATAAACTAATACAAAGTCTATATCAGATCAAAAATACCCCACTTATATTTATTAAAGACTCAACGCCTACTTGGTGATTTAAACTTCCTATTTGTAAATCTACTTGAGTTTTAGTAAGAATCATCTTATTTCACGAATACAGCGAAGATGAAAATTTCAGAAATTTTTTCAGAAATTTTCACGGTTTATCCTATACTCAAATATTTACTCTTATGAGGCCTGTATTACCGACACTGACGAAGGTTAAGAACTCGAAACGCTCTTCACTTTTACATTTATCATAAAGCTGTCTTGCATTTATTTTCTTTGTTAGAACGAACAACATTAACATTACTGACGAAGGCTCAAAATCCGAAATTCTTCACAAATTTATGTTTCAAGTCTAATAGTTTTTCAGAAATCAACACTACAAAGTCCTATGTTTAATGCATATTGATAGATAAGACGAAGACAACAACTTTGTACTTTTATACACTTTTTAAAACTATAACCATCCCGGTTGAAATCAGACGATAAACTAATTAAGGCTGTTAAATTTCATTTGATTAAATAAACATATCAGTATCCGCCACTTTCCGCCGGACTCCGCCATTCTCCGGATGCAGTTGCATGAAATCGAGTTAATGTTAACTAGATTATTAGGTCATCCTATAAATTTGGCAAGTAGTGTCGTTTTTCTTCCTGGTCACAGTTATATTATATAACGTTTTAATTTCTAATCAAATTTCGACAATTATTTAAAATCATCGGATCCTTTATCATTCTAAAATTATCCCAAAATCTCAAAAATATTAGTAATAAGCCACCGTCTTGTTTATGAAAATTTCCCTTATTGTCCACGACATGACGTCGTCCTTCATTAGTCCAATCAGGGGCTATTAAAATAGGACATAAAGCTCAATTTCTTTAGAATTTCTGAATTGTGATTAAAAATCATGTTTTTGTTGAAAATTTCCAATTTATTTGTAAAAATTTTAATTAAATTTTCCCCCAAACGTATGACGTAGTGACAAATGAAATTTCCTTAAAATAATTTTGAAACAAATTCTCGTGTCATCATTTCCGCATTTATTTTGAAACGTTTCAATTTCTGTTGTTTGCAACTATAATTCAATATTCAGATCAGGTTTCAGAGAAATTACATTTCTAGATGTCATAATTTCGATTCGGAAATGATGACGTTGATAATAAAATTTCAAAAGCAGAAGTACCCCCCTCAGACGTAAACCTGGCTCCGCCATTGTATCAATATGCAGACAATCGTACACCAGCAGATCACTCTCTACAATATATTCCAAATGATACAATAAATCAAGCCCAACATGGTCATAATAATTGAATTTGAATTTGGAAGTGAAATCTGGTCCCCAGTATGTAATATCAGAATTAAAACTGTTTACATTACCGTAATTTGATGAACAAATGTTTATGAATAATTCAACATATATCCCTTATTATTCAACTACGCGCACCTGCTATTGCGCACCGTATTAAGAGAGGGGGAGATGCTTTCGATGACTGTACGTACAAATTGCCCAGGAACAGAACAGTTACAGATTGTTCATTACGTAACATAAAATGAAGCTTTACTTCCTATTTCTACAGTATCAGCTTCAGAAAAGAGCAAAGACATGTGATGTGCGATACCCCTGAACAGAACGGTTGGGTGTAAAACTCCATTGCAGTACTCTTTAAACCTATAGATGTAAAGCCTGATAAAAAATCGTAAGATATGGCTGGAATGGCACTAAATAACCGAACTTATTACCAGACCATCCTAGCTGATTAATACATGGTTTCTGTAATAGTTCAGGCATTTTAATCTTATAGCACTCTTATCATAGATTACATTACCAAATTATCTAATTGACACGAGTTAACTGATCAGTAATAGTTTTAAACTACTACATAGGCGTAGGAATTTCTGGGATTGGACTGTATCATTTGGACGTTTTGTGGCAAAATTCCGGGGAAAATCTAGAATTTTGGGATAGTACCGACCATCAAACAGAAGATGTATGTGATCTTGGTGAACGATGCCAGTTCTTTAAATCAGTGGAGTTTTACTTTACAGATTTGGTTTACAGAGACAGCAACGATTTGCATTTAAGCAATTGGAATCATGTTTCTAGCGGTGTTTTCTTTTTAAATCTAAACTGTCGATTGATGTGTTTTTAAAGTACAAAGCCTGTTACACACGAAGGATTCGATCGACTAAGAACATTTCTATGTCAGCCTTTCTAAAATACATCACTGAGAAATATGTTGAAAAAATCTAAATGCCAATCTGCCAAGATTGAACTCCATACCGTTAGGTCAGCAAACAAGAGTTTAATGTTCTTAAGACACGTCGGTCGTTTCATGGAATTTTTTTTAAAAAAACGTGGGTATATAGACATATAGACTAGTATTTAGTGGAGCAAATCTCAACTTTAGCACGAATATTAACCATTGCACTTTAACCTAAACCATTACCACGATTTTAATTTTTAAATAATGAACTTCCGGTTTAATAATGACGGAAGATATCCGCTTGTTGTTTTAAGGATACTAATTCATCATGACATGTTTAAAAATAAATTGATTTGGAGCTTCTTGACATGTGCTTTTCATACTCATAGCACCCTATTGGTCATGTTGAAAGCTGTAACTGAGATGCCGACGGTACAGCGCCTCGTTTGTCAAATCCTTACTAGGTTCTTACTATGCTTCTTTTGTGTAAGGGAGCCGTGGTGGCTCAGTGAGTTAGACGCTTGCTCGCTAACCTGAAGGTCCAGGGTTCAATCCCGGCATAGGTCGAGATACCTTCGGATTTTTCAACCCGGTTTCCCCCCTGTCAGTGATGCAGGTACGAGGGGCTGACATGGAAAAAGCGTCTAGTCGTTCGGATGTGACAATAAACCGAAGCCCCGTGTGCTACAGGATGTGCACGTTAAAGATCCCTCGACAGTTGGAAATCGAAAAAGAGCAGGTTAATGCCGCTGTCCTGGCAAAATTTTCCTCATTGCACCCTGCATGGCGTTGCCCGTCTTCATTAGCCCACATGGTGCAGAAAAGTAGGACGTAAAACTCCATTCATTTCATTTTTTTCATTTCATTTCTTTTGTGTAAACCACACCCTGTTTGTCAAAACATTTGTCTAAACCTCGCTCTGTTTGTCGAAACTTTCGTTTAAACCACGCTCTGTTTGTCAAAACATTTGCTTAAACCACGCCCTGTTTGTCAAAACTTTTGTTTAAACCACGCCCTGTTTGTCAAAACATTTGTTTAAACCACGCCCAGTTTGTTAAATTTTCTGTCTAAACCACACCCTATTTGTCAAAACCCAAAGGGATTCAATGGTACCCTTACTAGGGTTATCTGTAACCTGTTAGTAACATCTTAATTTATGTAGGGAGCAGACTGAAAATAGGTAAGTTGTCTGAAGATCGCCTAGCGTAAAACATCATGATTCAAGTTTTGTTTAAATAGTTCTAAATGTGTGTATAAACAAGATTGTGTGACAAAAACGATTAGATTTCAAAACGATACACATTGACCTAGTGATAGTTAAAACTTAATAGCAATTGATAACACACATTAGTTGAACCTAATGATTAAAATATTTGAAAAATTTAAAATATAAACAGTAAAGTTACAGTCTGGGTCAATCATTGGGGTCAATTTTAAAATATTTATATTATGATAGTTGCAAGGAAGAGTTGGGAAAAAACTCAATCGGAATGTGTTTGAAAAAATTATAACCAAATTAGTTCATATAACAAGAATTACTCATTAGAAAACTAAATAGACTTCACAATTTCAACTAAAACCCATATATTTTGCAATACTGGGAGAAGTTTACCTTATTTGCATATTTCAGTTACAGACTGAAATGAATAGGTTTTAAGGCAAGGTTTTAGAAACTTTATGTGTCCTGGGTCGACAAATCTAGCCCTGGAAGTAGTAAAATGATACAAAGACGAGGAAGGCTCGTTTGACTAACAGTTTTTTACTCAAGTAACAGAAGAAATACGTTATTTTTAGTCATTTGATTTTCCTTAACGAAATGAGTAAGATTGCCGGTCAAAGATTATTAACCATAGTGAAAGTGTTTATGGTAAAACTGTCAAACTCATTTCTCGTTTTCCTTGATTCTGTTTTACACATTCATCACAAAATTGCAATGTCATATTCGTTCAGAAACGTCTGTCTGTATTCTATTAGCTTTCAATGATGTGTTTGAGTCGTTTCATCTTCATAATGTCAAGCTATTACGGACAGTTTTCATCCCAATGGAAGAACGGCATTCATGATTGCAGTCATGGTATAGGACGAAGTTCGTAATAGCTTGACATTGAGAAGATGGGGTCGTCCAGAAAGCAGTCAAGATTCCATTGATATTCAAACTTAGAAAAATGATAATATCATTAAGACTTACTTACCTTCACATGCCTTCCAGGCCAGTTTCTGTCGGATTTGGGCCAAAACATCGAAACTTCCAACTTGAAATACGAAATTCTCTTTCGGATCGCTTCCAATAGCAATCAGTTCTTTAAAATCAGTTTTATTACCAATTCCAACGGCGAACAGAAATATTCCATCTTTTCTGGTAAGTTCTGCCTCTTGGATAGTTTTATCCGAAAACCTGGATTTGCCGTCAGTCAGCAGGATTCCTATTTTGATGACACCTTCTCGAACGTTGTTCGCATGGAAGGCCTCGGTTCTCATTTTATTAAGAGCTCTGTCGGTATAAGTATCCCCCGTCATGTAAGGTATGTTCTTAATAGCAGTTTTTATGTCCTCTTTATCGTAATATTGATCAAGGGCGATAAGTTGTCGGTACCCAGTAGAAAACACCGCTAATCCAACGCGGGTTTTGTTAGGAGATATTGTAAATTTATCGACAACGTTCGCAACGAATTCGCTCTGTTTTGTATAATCTCGATACCAAATAGAAGACGAAGAATCCACCAGGAAAAATATTTCTGCTGCTTTCCCGCCACAAACTGTTTCGTCGGTAGGTGGCGTCGTCGTCGGTACTGAAATGGATAAAGAACACTGTGAATAAGATGCAATCTAACCTCACAGACTGGCCAAACCGGAAGTTAGAATGCAACAATAATTGCAACACATGAATCATGTGTTAGACGTATACAGTAGTTATAAACGATCAACCCATAAGCGGCTGTAAGTCACTCAAATGTTAATTTGAAGCGCCTCATTTTTATTATTTAAACAGTTCTTATATATTTTTAAATGTACAGAGGAATTGATAAAGAACTATTTTGACTTCAAATCAAATCATATTTCAATAGTCAAAAGATAAGTCAGGGATAGTCTTTTGGAAAAGAAATCCACGCCCAGCTGATGAAGTGTCTCGGATAATTATCCGTCACAGGAAAAGTTGGTTAAGTGAAACTATAGTTTAATTTTACAAATTTCCTTAAAATACAAAACGTGACTATTAATCATACAGTGTCTTAATAATAGTTTAAAGGTCGTCATATAAAAGTGATCTCAATATCGATATGGTAATCTTGAGGAAGGGATTGGATTTTCGATATCCTTGTCGAAACTCCGTGATTATAGGGAGTAACATGGATATCGTCACGAGATGAGGAACGTAAAAGTCCGCTTTACAATCTGTTGATTACACTCGTAATGTGGATTCTCCGAAACTCTGTCACGTACGTCCTTGGTGTATACAGCTTTGGAAACGGATTCGATATAACTTCACAATGTACGGCGGAAAGGAAATAAGTAAATTAGCTGTATGTCCTACTGTTCTGTCCCTTCTGTTCCGTAACTGATTGAGCAGTTATTAATATGAAATAGAGTTTTACGTTCAAGGCTTATTGCAATTTTTGAGGCTGTCAGAAGTATCAATTGACTTTTTAAGTGCAGGTCAGGGACGGTATATTTAGATTAAGAAGATAGAAATTTTATTTTTGCAGTGTACAATCATGATTTAACCCATATTCAGTCTAAAAATAAAATGGCGGCACTCGTTCAAGCGCAGACAATGATGCGGAAATAGACAAAAGTCTTAACTTCCGGTGAATATGCCGCATGTGAGTATCGGACCGGAAGTACTTCAAAACCTACGTAACTTACAAAGAAAGTTTTATATTCTATCAATCATGGCACGCGTTGGGTCGGAAACAAAAGTGACGCTTTAAATAGATGTTAAACTTGCGGTTTTGATCGAAACCGTGACGACCTGACGCCATGATGTTTTTACTTTAAACACAAGAATCCTTGTTCGTTTGACTTGAAAGAGATTTTGTAGGAGAGTGTAGCCTTATCGGACTGCCTCAAAGATCTAAGATGCCTACATGCATGTCACAATATCAGTAATAATACTAAAACTGACAAAGTTTGTTAACTACAACCAGTATTAATTGTCGAGTGTCTGTGATGACGTAATTTACCGTTATGATATCGTAAAAAATATAATTGCGTGGGCCCTATACATTCATTCATTGTTTTTGCAACCATCACTAATGACCGTCCACAAGTTTCGCAAATATCATTTTGTTGTTTGGAGTCTAAACATCACACAATATATTGAATTCATACCCCGATACTATCACAGCTACCAGCTTTGTATATAGTCCGAAAATATAGCTATCAGTATGACAACTATGAGAGGCCACATATGATTTCGGAATAGGCAAATTATCAGACTTGTTATTAATATAGGAAGCGGCCTATAAAGTTAAAATCAGTTGAACAGCAATAACCAGAAAATCAGTAAAGTCCAGTCTACGATCATACATTTGTTTTTAACATCAGATGGTCGTAAACACTATGATCGTGTAGACGGGGTTTTAGAATCAGACAGCCTCAGACTAGTATTAAAACTCCAGAGACCAGACGTGTACTAATGAGTACAATAAAGTATTTGATGATGTAGATGTCATTAAGGTCAGGCATGTGTCAACTCGGAAGTCTAACAACAAACAATGCATATTTGTTAATTGCAAACTGTTATTCTGAATATGACGACATTGGTATATGTCATCCATCCTCTATGACACGAGAAAAAGTTTAAAGTGACATACACTAAATAGTAACTAAAGAGTAACATCATCGAAACGTCATAAGACGAGAAGTGACGAGACCAATTCCGGCGTATATTCAGAGTTCAATGAGGACAATTTGGCTTGCAACAGTCTAACTTGTGGCTACTTCCAATTTCTCAAAAGGCAAAATAAGAGCTGGTCGTTATCCACGAAACGACAAACCAAGCTCACTGTCGAATATACAAGTAAGCTAGACACAGCTCAAAGGGATATAACCCAGCCATAAAAAATAGCTACGATGTAACACAGTTAATTCATAGCGTCATACATTGCAATGATATTATAATATCCACATTCCGCATTTCATTATTTTTATTAAACAAATCAAACTTCAGTTTTGAAATTTGAAAGTGATATTCACAAATTCCTACTCATGGTGAGTTCCAACATTGCGCCTTACGAAAGACAATAGCTGAAACACGCGCTTTATTTTCACCTCGGAGCGTACCTTCATATTTTTACTTTGATCAAACAAAACATTGAATTATTCTGCATAACTAGAGCAATGATATTAGAGATAAAATTAATAATTTAATATAAAAATATAAAGTGAACGAACCTGTTTTACCAGCAGCAATAGCGACCTGAAATCATCAGAAATTAAAAACATTTTAACTCAGTCTTTGATCGTCACGTGAAGACTTTGATATAAATTATGGCCAACATACGTAACATATTTTCTCGACAGGTTTCCAAGTGGTGGGGTGGGGGGGGGGGGGGGGGGCGTAAGACTTCAGATTGATACAAATCAGCAGGATATTTCTTTCAGAAGAAAACAGTGCACTGATATAATTTAAAGGGACAGTTTCGCCACCTGTAAGACCAGTGGTACCTTAGTCTCAGAAACCGGATTTTTTTTAGCTTACATAACCAGTGTCCACAGTTCAATCGAAATTTAAGCCTTCAAATCCATATTATCGAATTTTCCGCGTTTGAAAGTTAAAAGACTTTCTTGAGACTCTATCGTATATACAGGCAGTAAAATTCCTAGTTTTAGATATTTTTTTAGAAGGAATTTTGTGATTTTTGTACATTTTAATACTTCTGAGGACTATAGAAGAATCAAAGAAAGGATAAAAACTGTGTATTGGTGCAAATCAGCGACACATCTATCATTTTGAATCATTTGAAAATTTTCCAGATCAATGCCAAGTCAGATTGGTACAAATTATCGTCATGGCATTTGAAATATATCTTGCCACAATGTTTGATCAAGGTAAAGTTGGTAGATGGGGTTCATGGTAAAATGAATTATCTTTTAGCTTTAGAAATAACATGTGCTGAAACTATTATTGTCAACAGGTTTGGTCGAGGAAAAGCTAGTTGGGGGTCCTTTAAATCTAATCCTGGTAAAATACGAATGATCCCATTAACATAATACTACAACTTGCGTTGATATTATTAAATTTCTTACCGTCGAAATAAAACGGACTAAAGATATGATGTTCATTTTTGGTCGATAATCCAAATAAATCAAAGTAAAATCCAGGTAATCCTAATTCACAGGTGCTAATCCGAAAAATACGTCAGGGGTCTAACTTCAGTGACATAAAAATAATAAATGACAGAACTGAAGATTAAAGACATATCCCTAGTTACTAAATATAGAACACACCGCCTACGTAGAATGAGTAAGTCTTAAGGATTCCCCTTAGTTACCATTGATAAGTATAGACTCACAGGTAAGTCTGGGAGATAGCGACTATTGATGTGCAATTTTATGAATGAATTTGTCATAATTTTTACTACGTTCATACTGAAAGTAAACAATTTAGCGACCTTTAGTCAATATCCTTGCTTTTAAGTGGTTGAAGAGGTCATAAAGATCATTTAGCCATCCCTAGAATTATTTTTAAACTTCTGTAAATAGATGAAACCTAGAGACCCATATATTAATTATAATGATTTCATTGAACTGTGATTTTGATCTATTTTACGCCCTAAACTGCACAATTAGATGTATAGTAAACATATCAAATGAATAGGCTAGTAGGCTTAACAGTTATGTTATACATCTTCATAGCTTCACGGCCCGCATTTTTGTTGGGGAATTCCAACGATGGTGGCCTATGTGAATAGTAAAGTCGCAGGGTGACACCAGGAAAGGCCAACAGTTTAACACTATAGTGGCATCAGTCTAGAGAATTTATTACACAAATCAATTTTCATTTTTCTAATAGCTTAAATAACACTTTTTATATTATTAGCTAATTGAGTTTTCTAAAAGGAACGCCGAGTTGATAAATCCCAGTCGCTAATCGGAATCAGGTGCTCTAGATTAATGAGCATGCTAGGACGATACCTAAATTTCATTTAACATTTATCAACTCTTCTTCACACTAAAGAAATTTTAAGGCATTGATCTTGGGATCAAAATGTTCATATGACACTCTCTATTTCAACTGGCGCACATATTTTGGTGAAACATTATCGATACTGGCGATTCTGATTCGAGCACCTGTTTACAGCAATGCACTTCTATGGCTACTTTCTTTTCATCAGGAGTGAACAAAATGTTGTTTTAGTCTTATTTTCAATTTATAATATATAAAACTTTACAAAAACGATTAAATTAATATTAATTAAGTTTTGATTTCCTATGACCTTTAAAGTTCGTAAGTCAAATAAGAGTCCAATTATTTCAGATATTCAATAAAATTCACCTTTCCTTAGAAATTCAAATCTCAAATCATGATACAAGATCCAATTGAAATTGACCATAAAATAGTTAGATAAGATAAAGATAGACCTTGCCCCACCCCCACATTCCCGTCACGTGACGTCACTATTGCCTAATATGACCAGATTAGGGGTATCCAATCGCTGACCTATAAGGAAATTTTATGATTAGATTTTATAATCTTTGGTCTATTACCGGACAGGTTGTATCTTACACAGATACGCCAGTGGAAGTACAGAAAAATGGTTTGGTGCAGACCTACTTCGCGCGTGACACCCGCCACTACCATAATGATCAAGGTCATGAGATATAACCAGATCAATTTATGACCAAACAAATCAGCCAAAATGCAAGAAGCAGATTTATTGCATATTAAATCCAGACGATTTGCGGAAAATTTGAGAGCTCCCATTCCCAATTTCCCGTTCCTAACCCTACACCCATGGGCGACTGGATACGAGGCTTATCCTTGAGGGCGTCGTGTTTGTAATGCCCATTTTTAGAATTTCAAATATCACCCCATTATGATTTATTTAAGGAAATTTGTAAAAACTCAAGATCACAACTATGACATAGTTGTTTAACTTAGGGTGTAAATTTATTATATCAAAGGGGTGGTAACCTGTATGTTATTTTTGGATGAATATTACTATATTTGGTCATACATCTTCCGAAGAATTTTTTCATTTAAAGTCTATTTGGAGCATATATTGTATGCTATGCATGACTTCATACGTGTAATCTAAACGGGATGTGCGATTTGTAGATAATAATTTCAACGTGCATAAAAGCATTAAGGATAAGCAAGAAACTGCGTATATAGAACAGATTTTACAGTCTCGAACCCTTTTCACGAAAACTGAAGTAAGGATGAGTTTATTTTCCAGACAATTGATTGGTCAATCACTAAAATCAATTTGAGCTGTATCGACCAATCAGATTACTTTATTTCTCAAAATCCTCATTTCTTCTCGTATCTTAGTTACAATGTTGTGAAACGGGATCCAGGTTTCTCCTTTTCAAAGATGCAATTTAGAGGGCCTCATAACAATTATATTATGGTCGTTGTGGAGAACTCTTTGAATAAACCTGTTTCTGGCATTTTGCCTGATTTGTTTAGTCAGGTATAAATTGATCTGGTTGACCTACATAGTAGTGGCGGGTGTCCAGTGCAAAACAGACCATGCTTACTCTTTTCCACTAGTCCACTACTATATATAACTTTTACTCCTGAAATCTTCTGGTTCCAAACTCTTAAAATCCCTAGAATGGATCAATAATAATGAATTGATGTAATTTTATCTCATGATGTTGACCTATGTAGTGGCGGGTATCGCGCGAAGCAGATCATGCTTACTCTTTTTGAAACACCTGATGGTAGCCTACTTCTCTGTCGATGAGTCCACTACGATACCACTTTACTTTCGATTTTGTCATACTTTAGACAAGGTTTTTGATTTACGGAATTGTCTAGCTTATATGGATTTTTATTTCTAGACTTTCTCGAGGAATTTGAAAGTGGGTTATAATCGTGGTTTTTCTGTGGTTTAAAGAATGTTTGAGTAATAGCTGGTCGCATCACAGACAGACAATATACAACTGAAGGCTTGGCCCAGTCTTTAATTAGTTTTGACCACAAACACGATAACATGTATTGTACAAATTGTAACATAGGTCTAATTACATAAATAACTTAAATAGCAATAGAGAAAGGTGATTCATTTGATCTCAGGTTATATATTTTATTACCTTTTACTCAACTGTTTCAAATTACTCATTCTTTATAAGGCCATGATTTGACAGTTTTAGTTTCGCCGGGGGTGCGTCTTATTACCCAAAACATTCAGATCACAGAAAACTGGAACTGTGTCTATAACTTAAAGCATTCCCAATGAGTTCAGGCCACAGAAATCTAGGTGCGCATCTTTCTTACCCAAAGCATTCAGACCACATAAACCAGGGGTGCGCCTTTAATACTCAAAAACATTCAGACAAGGGAAAACCTTAATTCTTACATACATACTGTTCAGAAATCTATAGGTTATTCTTATTAATTACCAAAAAACATTCAGACCACAGAAAGTCCGGGGTGCGTCAAGCTTATTGATAAATTTATTTGACCGTAGCAAACCTTATAAGGCGCTGACTGGTACATACTCCGTGAGTATCCATCACATGAAACAACAACTTTGTATTTATGCTACATGACATAACAATAACTACTTGTGGGGCATGGCATGCACATCGTTATACCTTTAACAAATATACTATTGACTTAGTCAAAAATGATAAAAAAAAAAAAGTCAATAGTCGAGGGAACTTAATTTCAGCTGTCCGTATTCGAATTTTGAAAACCGAAAGGGATTATTGTAGGCCTCGTTCTTTCAACTGGCTGACGTTGAATATGAATACGCCAATTCATTTTAAATAATTAGTTCAAAAACCTAAGATGGATTTTCCATAACCTAGGGTTGTTAACCTAGTCCGTATTAATTATCATAGAATAAGTAGAAAAGGGCAATTTATGTTTGCGATATCAGCATCCGCTGGAAGCGAACGTTAACTTGTCATCTATCTATCTGCCTACCAATATAAAATGTTTGTGGTCTGAATCCGTCAAGAAAAGATAACTTCACCGGAAGCCGAAAGCGACCTCTGTAAACAAATCAAGTTGTTATTTTACACGTGAAGTGGGAAAAAAAATCGAAATGTCTCAATCAAAAATACTTTTAGCAAGTAAATTATTACATGAACTGTATGGGGAAGTTGTCGCTGATATCGCCACACATTTGATGAAATTTGGACCTCGGCATTTGAAGCTGATTAGTGAAAAAACAAAGATTAAATTGGAACAGGTTCGTTAGGATACAAACTGTCACTGTCAATCGACTAGCCTTCTCTATACCGGCTACCTGAAATTACCTCAAACCATGACAAAGCTGTTTTTTCAGCTGTAGGCTAAGATTCTAGTTCTTAAGAAATGGAATTTTTATTTCATAAATCAGGGTCAGTAGAAATGGGGTTGAATCAGTTTTGTCTTGTTTTTATTTATGCTGATAAGAGTTCTGGTTTTAAGTTGAAGTTGATGAAATTATGATGCAACTTCGAAAGGAATAAATGTAAATGCTATTTGTTAATTTGATGACAGTTTTCTGGTTTTGCACAAGTATCAGCTATTCGCAATCTATTTCACTTGAATGGTGTAAATAAGTGTTATACAGTGTTTTTGCTTCGACAGGAATCTGTGATCTTAACATGGAATTGGTCAAACATTACAAATGGAATCTGATCTTTTGTTTGAATTTCAGGTAAAGAAAGGAATTGGTATTCTAATCCAACATAATCTCATCAAGTTTGAGACATCTAAAAAGAAACCAGTAATGGAGTATACAGTTGACTGTGATAGAGTTATTCTGTTATCACGTTATCCTAAATATATTTACTGTGCTAAAACATTGTACGGGGATGCTGCCGAACTATTGGTTGAAGAGTTGTTACAAACTGGCCAATCGTTGATGAGTGAATCTACTGAACGAGTCACGGAGCGTCTTAACGAAGCTTTAGAATCCACAGGTAACTCAGTCTGTTTTAAGGCTAGATTTAATTTTATGCTGCAAAAGTAAAAACCCCTTACATTACAAATGAGCTCTTCCAATCATACTAATACAGCAGCCATATTAATAGAACATTTGCATGTATGAATGAGTTCAATAGAAAGTTGGGGGATGTCAAATAGATCACTGGCTCGCTGTATCCAGTCTATAATATTCTATTGCTGTATGTTTTTTTCTTTCAGGGAATCCAAAAATAACCACAAGCTTAGTATGTGATAAGTTTAGTTTATTGGTCAACACCCACTTTCTACGGCGCTGTAGTAACAGTGTTTACGATGCTAATGAAAGAGTTATAGGATATCAGGAACCATTAGAAAGAGATAAACTTTATATTCTACCTAATATAGAAGGTAATATTAATAGTCAGAAGGTCATTTTTGCTCGGGAAATATTGATTTCGTACATGACTAGGCTTTTCTAAAATAACAGGAACATCAGGCATCTGACAGAAAACTGGAATGATGCACATTGAAGTAATAAATGACCCTGATACACATAAAAGATAGAAAATATATCTTATATAATTTCCTTCATAATTCCATTGTGTTGTTAGGAAATTTGCTATTATGGTGTCTGTTTTAGGAAGTGTAAAAAGAAAAAGATTGAGTGAAGAATCAACACAATCTAATAAAAGATTAAAAACTGGTAGTGAAGTATGTTGAATTTATTTCTCTTTCAAAATCCCCCAGGGAGATGTGATCAAGCTTGATTTCAGCTGTCTATATGGTCATCTAAATATTTACTTTACCAGCTGATAGAGCTCAATTTTAGCTGTCTGTATAGTTGTCTAAATATTTACTTTATCAGCTGATAGAGCTCAATATCAGCTATCTGTATAGTTGTCTAAATATTTGATTTTAAATCCCTTTTCATAATCAAGGTATTTTTATATTGCAGTATACTGTACCAGATGATGGAATATACTGGATGATCAATGTAGACAGATTCCACCTATATTACAGAGATCAATTGATTATAGACAGCGTCAACAATAAAATAGACCAGGTAGAGTTATTGCCCTTTTTTTTATCATTTATTCGAATGAATGAGGTAGAATTCTATGTTATATCTTATGAAACAGCACATATTATGCTAAGAATTTCAGAAATAGACTGGATGTCAATCACCCTTGGGTCTTATTCTGGAAAACTAAAGTCAGATGATTTCAGCTAAAAGTGGAAAATGAACCCTATGAGCTGGGTCCAAGTCACATAAACTGAACTTAGATTGGTTTAGTTTTTCAGTCATTTGATTGGTCAATATCTTGAATAGATTTAAAATTTAGCTTTTTAAACCAATCAACCAAATATTTTAGACGACTAATATTGTAATATGTTTTTAGAAGTCCAGTGAAATAATAAGAAGTATGTTGAGATTAAGTGAAGTAAAAACAGAACCAATGTCCACTGTTTCAGCTCCTATGACTCTAGCAGAGGTCAGTTTCATTAGATTTTATATTAATGCATCACAGTGCATTGCAAAAGCTGCTTCTAAAATCTAAGGGCCTTTTTGATAGCTACTTCATCAAACACTTAGTTTTAGAGGAATTACAAGAACTACAGATGTCTGAAAATCTGAATGGTGTAAATTGGTGATATCAGTGTCCAAAATACACATAAAAAGCTTAGAAAACATCTGAACAGTCTTTTAAAGATAAGTTATGTATTGTCATTGCCTTCTCTCATGTATTATCAGCTCTGTCTTAATGTTTGTCAATTTCCACCTGTAATAGATCGTTTTCATTAACTTAATTGGCACAAAAAACTATTTTCAGATCTTACAGTCGTTACCTAATGAACTGGGAATGACCAAACATATACTTGAACAATATCTATCAATATTAGCCGAGGATTCTGTAAGTTGATTACATATACTAGAATAATATCTATCAATATTAGCCGAGGATTCTATAAGTTGATTGATATTACTGTCTAGAAGATATCCATGTATGATAGAAGTTGCTGTTTGTAAATTGAAATATAAATATATTGTATAGAGTTAATTAGATTTGATAATTATAATATATTTTGTAGTTGAATGTATTGAGTAAAGTTGGAGGAAGTAGTGGTGGTCTTTATGTTCTCAGTATCCTTTGAATTATATCATTATTTTATATTTTTTTGTTCAAATCCTCATTGAAATCAAACTTTTCTGCTTCTAAATGGAGTATTGAAGATTTTGTCATATAACAAACCAGGATAAAGGCATTAGCCTTGTCTTCAAGATTTCTAACTGTTGAGAAATCTTTAACATGCACAGCTAGTAGCCTCTGTTTATTGTCCGATGCAAAAAACGAAAGGGATGCCAAGTTGCACAGTCAAACAGTGGCCTCTAGGTTTAAAACCATGTAGAAAAAAGACAAGGACAATATGAATTTTATTTAATCTTAACTTATTCTACTAGATATTTATAAAATCTTACAGTTTCTGTGTCAGTCTCATGTAGAATCTGTAGTTCAAGAAAGGTTTGGATCAAAATGTTTACGAATATTTCGTGTCTTACTTTTAAAACGACACCTAGAGCAAAAACAGGTAACATTTTGTGGATTTTTTCTTATGAATGATTAATTGTGGTCTGACTCAAAAGAATCATGGATTATATCCCTTGTGTATCTACTCAAGCTAAGGCTTTCCCCAGTAATACTGGAACACAATGGGGCACAGGTGTTTTTGAATAATGTTTTTGTGGTCTGAAATTTAAAATATATCAAGGATTATTTCCCTTGTTTATTTATTAAAGCCCAGTCGGATCTTGACTTGATTTTGGACATATTTGTGTCAGAAGTAATATGAATAGAACATTGTTGTGTTTATTATTATAGATAGAGGAATATGCTATGGTTCCAACAAAAGAGACAAAAGAAATGTTGTACAACATGTTAGCTGAAAATTATATCACTATTACTGTAGGTTATATTTTTTTACATTATGCCTTTTTTTGTACCAAAAGTGACTCTTACCTATTGTCCGCTTGTGATTCCATTAAAATTATTATTTGAAATGGAATAATGACATAACAGTATCTAGCACTATAAGGTGTTTTTTGAGAAATCTTGTATAGATAAATTGAAAGTTTTTGATGCGTTCAAAGATTAATGGAGTCTGATAATAAAAAAAGTTTTTGTAATTTTTCAGGAAGTGTCAAAAACAGTAGACCATGCTCCGTCGAGAACATTTTATATTTTCCGTGTTCAGTTAGAACATGTGTCTAGAATGGTTTTAGATCATTGTTATAAGGTAAGATTATGTTTTAAATACACCTCTGAGTATTTCACTGAATAATTTCATGTAAGCCACTTCACTCAAAACTAGGATCTAAAAAAACATTTGTATGTAGATGCTTATACATAATATTCATTTAATTTTATTTTTGCAGGCAGCAGCCAATGCAATCAGCAGACGACAAATGGAGGTCAACAAACACAAGTAAGATTTCATTCAAATTCAGTTTTTAGGGAATTGCCAATTTCAATCAGTGAAAGCCTGGGAACTATCTGAACACTCTAATCTTTTACCTGTATAATATTTCTATCTTTCTCAACCTACTCACCTCTCACTCTAATCTTCTCTTAATCAAACTCTTCAGCTAACCCCCAGAACTACCCCTGTCCCCTACAGAAATTAACTATCTGATAATAATTTCAGGAGGGTGCTAGATAAACAAGAAAGAGTGGATGCTATCATTGCCTCATTAGAACAGTCTGGAGCAGACGAGGCCCAGAAACAAGAAATAAGGGAGACGATCACACCCCCAGAGGCTGAACAGCTAGAAAAGTGTCGAAACACTGTCAATATGTAAGTCTTGTTCCTTTAGTTTTTATTTATTAAACAGCTTGGACTGTTTCACAATATTTTAAACAAGATAAGATCAAGATATTAGGAAACACAGTAATTTGATTGGTTAATAATACTTAATGGAATATGAAATCTAGTAATTGACCAATCAGAGGAGGTCATCTCAAGTTAGGGTTTTTGCAACTGATCTCTAAACTAATATTCAAGTACATAAATCCATATATTCTCCCAATAATAATAAGGGTGCGCATTATCCATGCAATTATACAGTATATATATACTGTATAACTGTGATACGCACCAATGACTGTACTGCCGATCTCTCCTATGGGAAGATTTTTAAAGCCAAAGTTATGTGAAAAAGTGTGTTCAATGATTTTCAATTTTTGAATTTATTTGTTTCAATATTTCAGGCTAGAGTCGAGTGAGTTACAGATAGATGAAACAATATTTATTATAGAAATGTATTTAAATTATCATCTTTTACATAAAGCTATTAAATAATTCATTGTTTTTTTATTATTCTTGTGGAATATTCTCATAACTTTCATAAAATCTGCGAGCTTGTCAGTAACATTGTTTTGACATCATTTACGAAGCCATAATAATGTGCTGATTGGTACAAACAAACAGCTAACATCCCTCTGTCATTCTTAGCTTATGTACAGTCATCTTCACAGTGTCAAGATATTACAAACTTCGTCTTTAATGCAATAGCCAGCTTTCTTGTGTCGCGAAATGCAGCCATTTGATTGGATTGCACGCAAAGGAAAACAACCAATCAGAGGCCTTGACAGAAAGTATGTAAAAAGTAAGCCAAAGTGTTTAGTCTTTATGTCAAGAGCTTTTATTGGCTGTATTCGCTAGCGTCCAATCTAATCAAAAGGTATAAGAGGAAGTTTGTAATAGCTTGATATTATGAAGATGGTGTATCTTGTAATAAGTTTCCCACCCCACACACCCTCTTCATTTACACACATTACTTAGTAGCAATGTCTGTTATACCCGTACATGTGATGTAGCTGTATTTTGATTGAAAACTTGAATGCCATTTTGAAGTGAGGAATACACAGGCCCGTAGCCGGACTTGATTGTTCGTGGGAGTAAGTAATATATCGGGAAGGGCTGTCGGGTGTGGTAATTATACACAATAACACAATTAGAAATATTAAACACACAATTATATAGATAACAATTACTTTAATAAATAACCTTTCTTTTACCTTATATAAACATTTAGATTCAAAAAATCACTTTTTCTATTTTTGCAAAGCAAAGTCTGTTCATTTTACCTCACCATATCTTCGATTCTGTCTTTAATTGAGGGACGAAGAGGTAATCCCCCGGCAGGACTGATTGGTAGAACGGGAGAAATAGGTCTACCACATGGATAGGTCACTGTTTGGGTCACCACTTTATAACAAGTATAAGCAACACGTTTGGTGACTTTTTTAGTACATAATTTCGGAGGGTTGCAAGTGTAAGTGCGTTTTCCATCTCCGGTCTTGCAACTGCTGGCTTTAAAGTGAGATCGAACTTGTTGTCCTTTATATTTCTGTAAACAAACAGTTTCTGCCCATTGATGGACCTTTTCATCACAAGTTAAACCACATCGATTGATATTATCATTTCTACATCCGCACCATCCACTACAACTGGCAATTACACCAAAATTTTTAATAACTATGCCGTTTACCCGGGCATCACACCAACATCTGGAAATAACACAACACAAAATACAAAATAAAGCGTTTGAAGTTCAGAGCAGTGAGACCGATATCTTCACAACGAACCTCGTCTTATACCTTGACTGCCATAGTCACCTTTCTTGTATCACGGAAGTTAGTAAATGCAGCGATTTGATTGGATTGTACGCTAGCGAATACCTCGACTGAAAGTCAGTTAACAATAAGACAAAATACTGCTCTGATTGGCTGTTGTCGCTGGCGTACAATCCAATCAAATCGCTGCATTCTGTGACACAAGAATAGCATTTAGAAGATGGTTTTAGCTTGGAGTAATGACTGACAGTCGGTTTTAGTTCAAGTATAAACGATGTCTTTTTAAGAATATAATTCTGACACTCGGGAGGCTATCTCCGCCACTGGAATCATAATCAATACAATATCTTACCTTCTCCGAGCTCCAACAGATTGTAACGAAATCACCAACATGACGAGAAGGGGGGTAACTACAGCTAAATTCATCATCGTTGTTTGTAATCCTGTCAGTGGTTTTATACCTGAAACAGCAAGGGTATTGAATGTTGGGAGACTGTAGTTGGTGCAGAGCGGACGGACGTCGAGGTGGGCAGAACAGAATACCCCAACCGTCCTCCGATAATTTCGACCTATCATTAAAAAACATTTTCAACAGAACTCAAAGACCCTCACATTCTATTCCATTACAGAACGATTGACAACTAAAACAGCATCTTTACAATGGTCAAGCTATTACGAACTTCGTCTTATAAGTTTTTGATAGTTTGGCATCGTGAAGCTGGTAAAACAGATACAACTATCAACCTTAAACTTCAATTATTACTGTTAGAAATAGACAACTCGAATCCACTTTCAACCTGAAGAAAATACTATTATTCTTACCTTCAGAGGTTCTAATACGTTTATGATTTGTACTTGTGATTTTCTCGTCTTTTATAGAAAAACAGTCCACTTTTTTTTGTACCGAAAATGTTGAATTTAAGATGACGGATTATGGTTAGCCCCGTCCTTTATGCCAGTGGCATAATAGAATCCGGTTAGTCGAATTTAACCTACATTTAATTCTTCAATTTGATGTGTATACGAATTACAATACCCGGAACTATACCAACATTTTTTAACGTAAAAGGTCAGATTTGACGATGTTTACTTATTTTAATTTTTAAGGATTTGATTTCCATTGGCTAACATAATCCAATCAGAATTATGTATTGTTGCAATTATGTATTTTGTTAAAACATGTGATGAATAAAAATTAAGATTAAATACATGGTTGGATGCCCTTGGGACTATTGTACAATCCTCGATTTCGATTACCCAAACCTCACCCCGTTGATAGAACTGTAACAACAAGCTATAAAACCTGTCATCTTCTCAATCTACTTCAAACGTTGTAAAGTTATATCTTAACTGGAATTAGTTTTTTACCTTTCTAGTATCACAGATTTCAGATATTTGATTGTATGCCAGGTAAACATCATGACTTAAAATTGTTTACAGACATTTTGTTTAGGTCTATGATTGGCTGTATTCTCTAACGTAGCCTACAATCCGCTGCATTTACACACGTTCGTGATACATGAACGGTCGCTTTCTCAGTCAAGTAGATGGCTATCTGAATATTTGCTTTTCTGGCAATTTGTTTTCCAAAATCAAAATTTGATGTCCCATTCGTCTACAATGCAACGCACTTAGGAGGTTAAGAATGATTCTCTTCCAGTCGGTTATGAATAACCCTAACCCTAACGTTCGGTAATCCTCGACATTTTCCCTGAAGCTGAATCTGGTAAAGAGCTCTGGTGGAATTTTCACTGCAGATCGCTTGGAAGATATGCTGTTGATATTAAGAAAACATTAGCTCTGAGTTATAAAGTTTGTAATTTGTAATTTTTAGTAGACAAATAGAAAGGAGTTACTATGATTATTCTGTTTCAACACCTGTGGCTGTTTCTTTTCGTGGTTTTTTTTTTCAGGTAACTGCACTCGAGTCACCAGCAGAAAAAACATGAAACGGAATATCCAAATTTAAATTTTAACGAGATCGTGCTATGATTAAATTCATTCAGTAACTTCTATTTGTATTATATATTTTGAGTAAGGTGAGACGAGCTATATATGGATGATTGATTTTACATTATTTCGCTTCTGATTGTTATTTCAATGACTGAAAATATTATTGAAAATTAATCGCCTCAGTCTTGTTTAATTCAGGTAACGCCTTTAATATACTTCGGGTATATTAAATATTAAATTGTGGGCAAATCCTGAAAGACCCCACCCGTCTTCAAAATGAGGTGAAAATCAGTTTTGTATGCTGGAGTTCCATTCCCAAATTAATTAGTATTGATAAGAATTGTATCTTTGTTCAACAGCGTCCTGGCCCTTCATTGCAACAACCTTCGCTTGCTTTATTCAGGTTTTACTGATTTTTAGATTCTGCACAAAGTCCAGATTTTAAATTTTGATCCATTGCTCAAGTTTTAATCTACTGACTCGACAAAAAATATACCAGATTGGGTCTTGTTATTACAAACAGGTTTAATTTATTTGTTTCTGATACTCATACACGACCCTTTAAATTGTTGACTATGGAGATTATGTGAATGTAATATGCAGTTAACACCTAGTTTCATAACAATCCATTAACAATAGATAGCCTATTGAATTCAAGTACATTTAACTTGAAAACCCTGGGCATGTCAGGCTGCGAGAAAAGGGGCGGGGGGACTCCAAGTGCATAGCAGTACACTACTTGACGGGCCGAACGAAACAGCAGGTGCGTGGACAAATAAGAAAGGATAAGCATGATAGGCCTTAATATGTACTTTATCTTGTTCACCAAATATGCCAATAAGATAAATAAGATATAATAGAAACCGACATGAACTATTCCTTGAATCGTTTGAAGACATGTTGACAAGAAATATAATGTATGCTATAAAATATGCTGTTCTGTATCGTTCAAGATGGGTATGACGGACGGACCCAGATTACCGCAGAAACAGTCCCGCCGATTCGGCACTTCTCGGCACTTCTCGGCAGTCTCCGTAAAAAGGAGAAGGGTTAAAACTCAATACGTTATACACTTATGAATAGTTCAACTGGACTTAAACTAGTTTATATTTCAGGTACCGGTAATTTACTTTTCCAAGAAATAAAGTCATTATGACAACGATAAAGGGATACTGTCGTCTAAATATCTGCCTTCATATCTGACAAGGCCCAATTTCTGAATGGTTGGGTTCATATGTGTTCTCTATAACTATTGTTCCGTCCATGAATTATTTGATTCAATTACAGACGAACTATCTCAGATTGACAATCCGACGAGTGATACAGACGGCTGAAATTGAGCTCTATTAGTTGTTCCATGATGCTATATTAATGAGTTTACTATCAAACAGTACTAGTTTATGCAGCCCAGTTTAACCATATACCTTTAAATACTTTATTTAGAAGGTAACCAATAGCGAGTATTTTATTGCTACAAAGCGTTTGAAATTATTCTATAGATTGTTGTCGATACAATAGTTCGACTCAATCAGTCATAGTATGAATAGATCGTCTATTATAGAACATTATTTTATTATATAAACATTATAAACCTTCAAGAGTAGGGCCGAGCTCCTTAGGGTGGGGGTGTGAGGGTGGTTTTGGAGCTATTGTAAAGGGGTCTTGAAAGTTGGGAGCCGACAAGGCCGAGAGTGTGCACGCCAGAGATGAACCTTTCAGTGGCGATGAGCTCTTCCGAAGTTATTTCCTCTATCGATTGAGTTGGCTGACTTCAGTTGATGATATGTTAATCCTGTAAACTCTATGTCATTTCATCACTAACTTTCTGCACCCTTTTTGACTAATGAATACACGGCAACACCATACAATATGCAATATGTGCAGTATATCGACGCTAACCTACTGGATTCCACCTGTCGGCGCCGCCCATATTCAATAAAATACAATTAGTATAAAGCTATATACATGTAGTGAGTTATTATTACCCACTGTTGAATTCTTGGTAATAAATGATAGCATGACAACGTAAACTTGTTGACACATTTTATACCATTCAACTTCCTTCTAAATTCATTTTTTAAACATTGAAGGAGATTTTACTGCTTTTGTTGACGGTGCGGATTATATTTTGTTAAGAAATTGCTAAGGTTGGTAAATTTCTATATTAAATTTTATATTATAATATTTTTATAACGGTGTTAAAGTTCTATACAACGTAATACCACAGGTCAAATTTTATATTTTTATCTGGATGTTGCCAGGTAGGATCTTTGGTGCAAGAGTCCAAATTTGTTCACGAGGCTCAGAAAATCTGTAAAATTATCGCTTTTAGATCTCGGGACTATATTGCCTGAATTTATCTCACCGTTTAGACCTACCCTATTCAGTAATTCAATTCAACTGTTATTGTTGAATCGGTACCTTCACAGGAAGTATACTACTTACATTCAATTGTAAATTGTAGAAACGTTGTGATTGAATTTGAGAAGTTTTAAATTAAGATTTGATATTAAAGATGATGTGATGCTGATTGGAGAGTATAGAGGAACTAGGATTAGTCAAGATGGGATGTGGATCATCCAAGTCCGATGGAACAGATCTTCCCGAACTAGCCGTGGTAGGAAAAATGATTTATCACGTTTTCCACTGCACAAAGCATTATTCAGGTGTATCAGTCACAATACAGGACAACATCCTGATCACTACCTCTTCCAGCACAATTCTAGATGGCCTGAGAATTAATACAAAACAGTTGAACATCGTCCCAATGTTCGACAGTATTATCTCAGCTGTAGACTGATCTTTTTCAAAATTCTCTCAGACAGACCTCAAGATGTCGTTGTCCAACCCTGAAAATATGAAAGTCATCGAATAAAAAATGTATAAGAACTGCCCCGAACAAAATAGCATGTCAAAAAGTACAATATCAAGGCAACTTCCCTTTTGTGACGTTTATTTTTCGTGACACCCGATATGAATTTAAGTGATAAAGTTAATCTATTATAGATATACTACTCCTTTCTTTAATCAATTTATGCAACGTTTCGATTCACATACAGGAATCTTTATCAAGCACAAAATAATAATATTAATTAACATTTTGTGCTTGATAAAGATTCCTGTATGTGTTTCGAAACGTTGCAAAAATTAAAGAAAGGAGTATTATATCTATAATATATAATTATTTAGTTAATGTTCTATCTATTTCTAAATGTCATTTGAAGATTAAACGTACAACAGTTTGAATTTGTTTTATAGTTCCCAGTACCAGAAAGTGAACCGGGCTATCCGCCACCAAAACCACCCAGGACTACTAAAAATGAATATTTTAATCCAGCTGAATTTACTTCTATAGATAATAATGTTAGAAAGGTAAGTCTGATATCATTCTACGACTGGAATTATCAATTCTATGTGCTGCATGACAATGGAACAGTTGTCTGTCTAAATGTGTATTGGATCATTCATTGGTCATTCATTTGTCATTGGAACCATCAAACAAGATGATATACACACAGAAAGCGTATTGTCGTGGACAACAAACCAAACTGTGCACATAAAAAAGCCATATTAGGCTGTCCTAGAATAGACAACTCGGTTGCCATGAGTCTAGTATGTAGATCTCTTATTTCACATCATTTATACAATTCCTTTTGATGATTTATTGTTAACAAAATGAAGACATTGAATAACACACAAATTAACCGGTAACTTAGCTGCCATTGAATTAACGTGTCAAATTACAGGCCTGATTATGACAGTGCGACTCCTTGAGAAAATATGTGCAACATTTTCTTCTTTCCAGTTGAAAAATTCTAAAGCAGAATCGTACGAAGCTCTAGTAGGGGAAATAACCAATGGTCTGACCACAGATCTACAGAAACTACGAGCTCTATATATCTGGTTAGGGAACCAGCCAATAGAAAACCAAGCCTACCCTAATGTTACTGATAATTCAACACCCAGAGGTTATATGAAAAACATTAAACATGGCAGAGGCAGTTTTACAGCTTTCTTTACTTTGTTATGTCGGTAGGTCAATTTGCTCTACTGGTATCACCCCTGTTCTCCCCCAAAATACCCTGGCGCGTTGCCCTTGGTCTCATAAGGTCAGCCTTTTGGACTTCCCCTACCCCGGCTTTCTAGACTGGAGGAATCTTGTGAGGATTACAGTAACAGTAACAATGATAAGCAATGAAAGTCATGATGAAAGCAACTGTGTACAAAGCTATACTAAACTGTACCGATTCGCGGTAACATAGCGCAAATACCAACCATTCGCACCATACCTACCACGTAAATATCTCTTGGCAAATTAAAGATAGGCTACCTCAACGGCAGTGGCTATTTACCACGTACAGGATCACCTTTCTCACTTTAAAACTATTTTTTTTCAGGGCAGCTAAATGTTTAAAACTTTTTTTTTTCAGGGCAGCTAAATTACCAACAGTTATCATTCATGGGAAAGGAAAGTCAAAGAATTACGAAGTCGGTGATAAGGACTTCAGTAATCTGAACAGTCAATGGTGTGCCGTGTACGTTGATGGAGATTGGAGGATCGTTCACGCATTGTGGTCGTTCAGAGCCGTATCTGGTTTCAATCAAGGAAACTGGACGCAGATTGAGAGAGACGGAAAGGCCTTGAACACGAAAGATACAAAATCTTCTGGAAAAGGTGTGACTCAATTAAATGAATATTATTTCTTAACCGAGCCCGAGGAATTTATTTATAAATGTCGTCCAGATAAAGATCCCTGGCAATTATTGAGAACTCCGTGGTCTATGGACAAGTATACCAGTGTCCCCTACTGTAGAGAGAACTTCTTCAGTTCCGGTCTGAAAATCATCAGTGAAAATAACTGTATCCTAAAATCAGAAAAGGGGAAATGCTGGCTTGAATTTGGACATGATCCAGAGGTAGAGCAGAATCTGAATTATGAATTTTTCTATAACGAGGAGGCCTCTGGGCAACCCCTGCCATCAGACCGGCGTCTCAACCGATTTGTTGCCTACAACAATGAAGTAAACAAGAAGAGCTTCGTTGTTCGATTTTCCTGTGTTGGCGTTTACAAAATGGTCATTTCCAAGATGGTCGAGTTTCGGCTGGATTGTCCAGGTATCGGAGAATGCCTAGAAGAGTTTCCAGAAAATCCGCAGATTGGTTACGGTTACGGACGAGCTGCCCAATCGGCAGGTATCAACTCGACTAACCAATATTATGGATTTATCTTTCTTACACACAATGAAACAAAAACCTTTCAATTTGTGGTTGAAGACCCCAAACATTTTCAGATGCAGTTCAAAGATGCTGCTAGCAATACGGATCTGTCGCCGTACGTCCACCAGACCATATCAGACAATAACGTAGCCGTACAAGTAAGGATGCCGGAAGACCAAGAAGGTGATTGCGTCTTGTCGTTCAGCAATAATAACCATGTTGCCATCAACTATCTGATATCTACTGATAATATCGCTGAGTCCGGGTCCACATCGCCGGTAAGTCTTACACTGTGTCTTTTCTTCAGCCGTGTTGATCTAAAGATTCCTCGACAACTGAAAACTTTTTCTCACCTCAAATTAAACTTCACATTTTGCACATCCAGTCCATCCAGTAACAGAAAAATAGGACGTAAAGCTCCATTTCATTTAATGTCCTATATTGTAGAGAAGAGATCCAGTGCGAGAAGCTTTAATCCGGGCCACCAAGGATACTGATATCGACATCCTAGAGTTAGCTATCGAGAGATTTGAACAGGATCGACTAGAAGACAGGGGTGACTTGACTCGAGCTAGGAAAAGGCTTCAGAGCCTTTATGATGGTAAACACGTTTCTTTTTTTTATCTATGAAATAACAGATAACTTATAGATCATTTATGAAGAACCAAAGAACTGTGATATGGTATCAAAATATTGTTCGCTACTTGGAGTCTATGAAAGAGTAAACATCCCCAAATATTATTTTTCCCATCTTGGACTAAAAATTAAATTTGTAGCTAATCAGATTCTTTGATTGTCGAATGACTATTCTCTATTCTGTAGTATTTATTTCAAATCAAATGAAAAAATTTTACAGCTCAAGCCGGAGATCAAGACAGAGAGGTGAGAAGATTTTTTCTTTCTTTCTGTTGCTGAATCTTTCATGAATGTTATGCAGCGGAAATTAAATGCATCGCTGGGCAGCTTCGGGCTTTGAAATGCATCGTTCAAGCTATATAGCCAGATAAAACCAAGAGCTTGCGTATGGTTTCAACCCGATTCGCGTGGTGTATTGGAACCCGTAAGGATATATATATGACGTCACCAATCAAGTAGCGTATGTAGGCCATTGCCCTCCCAGAGGCCTGTGACAGGTCTTACTTTGAAGTGAAAATTAATTTATCATAATGCTCAAAATTCGTCTCAGACCATCTGAAATCCATAGAACTCTGGCAGCTCCCAGTCTCTCGGTCTCAAGGGGTCTTCAATGAAGTTGTAGAGGGTGATTTAATGGGTCTCATGATCAAGGTTTTTACAAAGCTTATATCAAATCCTATCACCCATGAAGACAAAGAATTAGCTTGGAAAATTCCCTTTAATTCAGAAAGACGAGGCGAGGATACGAGAGAGATTGAGGGTAGCGACTAGGGAAGACGATATAGATGAACTAGAAGCGGCTATTGAAGAGTTCATGGGAAACAGACTCGAAGACCAGGACGACTTGACCAAGGCTAAACAGAAATTACTAGACTTATACACTAAAGGTAAGGCTTTATCTAGCCTCGACCAGTACCTTGTAATTTTATGCTGTAACTCAATCTTAATGTGGTACTACCATTTATAAACTATTTTTGATGTAATTTGAAGCAATTTAATATATGTATAATAGCCTATTATATCATGCTTCTGCAAATTCGAAATAAAGTTGGATGCAATCAGCGCTAAAGCAACGAAGGGCAATAACTCGGTATATACAATATTGTGAACCATCGTGTGATTATAATCGCCGCCATCTATATGGTATTTCTACTTGAACAATTCAAATAGTAGTGGTGGGGTTTAATCTCGGTCGACTTGTCTGGTAACCTTGTCATCTTTCCTCATTATTCCAGTAGACCCAACTGTAAATACAGATAATCTGGGAAAGACTAATATTTGACAAAGGCCCATCTCATAGACAGGATTCTCTTGAACCTTAGTTGTTATCCTTTTAAAAATGGTTGTTAATTTCTTTCTGTATATTTGTACAAACTGAATAATCTATATTTTCTATTCCAGCACTGCATATAGCTACCCAAAAGAGAGATATAGATCGTCTGGAACATGTAATAGACCGAGCTAAAAGCAGTCGAGTCTGTGGAACTTTGAGGTTTTCAGAAGCTATGATTGAAGCCGAGGAGACCTTGGAACAATTGAAGAGATTGAGGACGTACATGATGCGAGTACTGGCCTTGAAGCAAGCTACTGTATCAGAAATCACGAGCTATAAACGCCCCAAACCCTGTATACATGATGTTATGAAGGCTACTTATCTACTGCTGGGTGAACGAGAGAAACAATTAAAGGTATGACCATGTCCTACAGCAGTTGAAGGTTTTAGAGCCGTCCCTACCCTACAGCAATTCTATTTATTTATTGATTTATTTATTTATTGATCTATTTATGTATTGATTTATTTATTTATTGATTCTATTTATTTATTGATATATTTTAGAGATGGGAACATATACAGAGTTTGACTCGTAAATTAGGAAAAGAGAGTCTTATTAGAAGGATCAAGGAATTTGATCTGGTGAATTTAAAGATACCAGTGGCTAATAGATCTGATAGGTTGTTAGATATGTATGATAAACGTACTGTTTATTTGACTAGTGCTGGGGCTGGCACCTTCTTTAAGTGGGTAAGAGCATCTTCACAATGTTAAAGTACTTGACTGCAATAGTCTTGTATCATGATAACTTTTCCGTCGAGAGCCCTGATGGCTGTACAATCTAATTAAATCGCTGCAATCCGTGATACGAGGATAGTTGGGATTGCAGTCGCGAAGTTTATAATACCTGGGTATTGTCAAGATGCGTAAGAGATTCTAAAAATGTCAAAAGAGATTCTCGGATGTCTTTGGCTTGGCTTATGATAACTTCTATTTGCACTGTATTGTGCCTAAGGGGGGCAAGAGGTGGGGGGTGCCAAACGACTCCCACCCACGAAAAAATTCTGCAATCAACCAATATCATCACTACAACTAAACACCATACTCCATTGCCCCTCCGGATGTAATGCATGCCCCTCCAAACAATCACGTCTGGTTACAGACCTAGGCCAGATTATGACACACCTATCACACGATCTTGGCGTATGTTATCCTGATTTATTATATTTCAGAGTCGTAACATTTTAAATGAACTTCAAGAAGAGGTTCCTAGTCGAAGATCAGTTTAGCAGAACGACTACATTTATCATTGTCTGTAAATAACAATTATATCATCAATAGCTGTTTATAAACACAATAACTGTACAATACAATAAATATAAAAATAAAAAAAAATCTTATGAATTTCTACATGTAGACCTACCATTAAATAACGGCGCCATTTGGGATTACAGTTTTATTATCCCCCTGTAAAGAAATGGTTTGCAGCCCCAAATTGTATCCCCACTTCATTTCTAACAAATCTAAAAATATGATTTCTATACGTTTTTTGTATTTGTCAGAAGGCACCAAAATCAATTCTTTTTTTCAAAAACTTCCTTGAGTCTAACCCTACCAGACTCTCTATGAGAGGCTCGGGGCGTATTATCGCATCGCACAAAGAGCCTTGGATGTTATTAGCGAAAAGAATTGGAATGGTTCAAATCGATGCTATCAATTTTCCCGATAAATGAGTTTGGTAAAACTTTCAGATACAAGTACAAAAACTTTTAGGTCTAAACTATAGACTACTATAGAGTTTAAATGTGAATATAATATACAGTTAACACCTAGTTTCATAACAACAATTCAATAACAACGTGTATTGATCTGTAATTGTACTTGAAAATAGGCAGAAATGAGGCTTATTTATAGAATGTCCCTTAACAATTCTGTGACACCTCTACCTAATGACTAACGTCACATGCATAGGAGTAAAACGGCAGGTGCGTGTATATTTTACATGTTTAAGAAAGGATAAGCATGCTATGCGTTTGAATAGGCTATAATCTTTATGTTCACCAAAGAGAGTAAAACTTATTTATGATAGAAATCACTAGAGGAACGTTCCAATTCTAAAAGCATCACGATATAGCAATCCCCAGTTGCGTATAATGAAGGTGGCCATGAGTACCGAACGCAACTCACAACTCAGTTACATGAGAGTTGTATTCGAAATTTCTGACTGTTATTTTTATTCGCCAGATGATCGAACCATGGCGGGCTTGTAAAAAGGCGAACAGGCCCGATGCCTTCGCAACCATATGCAACTGGTGATCGCTATTGTGGGAGGGTCTTTTAATCGTCAACCGTCATGTTGATAATAAATAAGATTAATAGCCATTGAAAGTGGAAATTAATGCTTAACATGGTTAGATTAACCCGGGAAAACTAAGCGCTTTGTCTTGAGCGCCTTAAAATAGAAAGAAGAAAAAGTTCAAAAATTCCCCTAAGTGAGTTATAGATTTAAAAATAGTTGGATTAGAACATATACCGAGAAATTTAACGTCAATATGACAGTGAAAGGGATACACACGTCTACATTTTTGCTTGTAGAATAAAAGTCAAATATTTAGATGACTATATAGACAGCTGAAATTGAGTTCTATCAGCTGGTAAAGTAAATATTTAGATGACTATACAGACAGCTGAAATTGAGTTCTATCAGCTGGTAAAGTAAATATTTAGATGACTATACAGACAGCTGAAATTGAGTTCTATCAGCTGGTAAAGTAAATATTTAGATGATTACACAGACAGCTGAAATTGAGTTCTATCAGCTGGTAAAGTAAATATTTAGATGACTATATAGACAGCTGAAATTGAGTTCTATCAGCTGGTAAAGTAAATATTTAGATGACTATACAGACAGCTGAAATTGAGTTCTATCAGCTGGTAAAGTAAATATTTAGATGATTATATAGACAGCTGAAATTGAGCTCTATCAGCTGGTAAAATAAATATTTAGATGACTGTACACATATCTGTAATTGAGTTCTATCAGCTGGTAAAGTAAAGATTTAGATGATTATATAGACAGCTGAAATTGAGTTCTATCAGCTGGTAAAGTAAATATTTAGATGACTATATAGACAGCTGAAATTGAGTTCTATCAGCTGGTAAAATAAATATTAAGCTGACTATACAGATAGCTCTATCAGCTGGTAAAGTAAATATTTAGATGACTGTACAGATATCTGTAATTGAGTTCTATCAGCTGGTAAAATAAATATTTCGACAACTTGATCCCTTAAAATTTGAATGTAACCAATAACGAGTATTTTATAGTTACATGGCGTTTTAAACTATTCTATTGATTCTATAGTGGATACAATACTTTGCCTTTATCAGTCATTGTGTAAATACATTGGTTTTTTTTTTTATTATAGAAACATTAGTCTTCAATAGCAGAGCCGAGTTCCAGGGGTTTTTGGGGTAGTGTAAATTTATTGGGTGGGTGGGGGTAGACTATATCAAGTTCGACCTGATTCAAACCAAAGATTAAGTCTCCGTTTTACTGCCGGCCCAGTCAAGAAATGGAAAGGGGAGGGGACAGGAAGAGGTACAGAAAGTCGGTTCGGGTGGGGATGAAAGTCAGAATAATCCAAACTGGAACTGTTTCGATCAGGACCAGGTGGGATTTTTGTTTCGAAGTGTATTTCAGGACCAGCATAAGGTTAAATGTCTGATTCGGTTGGTCGATCATGACTTAGATTATGGAAGCCTGTATCTGAATAGTCCAATTATAACAAGATGCAAAAATGTAAACTCACAGAGTCGACTTGATATTTACTTTACCAGCTGATAGAACTCAATTTCAGCTATCTGTATAGTTGTCTAAATATTTACTTTACCATATCATGGAGCTCAATTTTAGCTGTCTATATAGTTGTCTAAATATTTACTTTACCAGCTGATAGAGCTCAATTTGAGCTATCTGTATAGTCATCTAAATATTTACTTTACCAGCTGATAGAGCTCAATTTCAGCTATCTGTATAGTTGTCTAAATATTTACTTTACCATATCATGGAGCTCAATTTTAGCTGTCTATATAGTTGTCTAAATATTTACTTTACCAGCTGATAGAGCTCAATTTGAGCTATCTGTATAGTCATCTAAATATTTACTTTACCAGCTGATAGAACTCAATTTCAGCTATCTGTATAGTTGTCTGAATATTTACTTTACCATATCATGGAGCTCAATTTTAGCTGTCTATATAGTTGTCTAAAAATTTACTTTACCAGCTGATAGAGCTCAATTTCAGCTATCTGTATAGTTGTCTAAATATTTACTTTACCAGCTGATAGAGCTCAATTTGAGCTATCTGTATAGTCATCTAAATGTTATTTTACCAGCTGATAAAAATCTTTTTGAAATTAAGTTTTAATTGCCGCTTTTCTGCACTTGATTGGAAAGTAGTCAACAGCATGCAGTGTGCAACGAGGACGTCGGTATCAGTCTGCTCTTTTAGGATTCCCAAATTTCGGAGCCGCTCAATAAAAGAGAATTAATATTTAGGTATATATATACATGAATAAATTATTCTACTGTATTCTTGGTAATGAAAGAAAACATGACGTACATTTCTACAATTCAACTTCCTTTTAAATTCAATTTTAGAATTCGACGGGGGCCATAGACTTCAACTTTTGTTGAAGGTGCGGTGTGTTTTTTTGTAAAGAATTTTCTGGGGTCTGTAGATTTTTATATTTTAACATTTAAAATCTTAAATTTTTTAATCTTTTTATCTTTCTAAATTCTTTTTTTTTTTTAATTCGCCGTCGAATTTTTAACTTTTAACTGGTATAGTTGTTGAGATGTCGTGAATACGGTGGTTTGTTTAGGACATATTTAATTTTTTTCAGTTATGATTTAATTCTAATCATTTTTTATTTTTGTTTGCTGAATTATCATTTTTGTTTGCTGAATATAAAAAATAGTAAACAAAAATGATAATTCAGCAAACAAAAATGATAATTCAGCAAACAAAATTGAAAAATAAGTAGAATTAAATCATGTCCTAAACAAACCATCGTATGATATGTTTAAAATAATATTTGAATTATTTAGATAGTGTTGTGAATAACTTGTGGAAACTAGTATTAAAAGAGAACTAAGACAAGATGGGATGCGGAGCAACCAAGTTACCAGCAATAGATCTGCCAGAACTAGCTGAAGTAAGAATTATGTTACTATGTTAACAATCGACAGTCGGCCGAAAGAGTGACAGTATTTGCGCAATCCATGTTAAAATGAGGCTTCGGGTGATCGTGGTGGATATCAATCTAAAAAGAAATAAAAAAGACTCTTATTGAGTTTGGTGGTCGTCGTTGCTTCATTTGCCTCCATTACGCTGCGACCTTGGTGGGAGGAACAATGGAAGATATAATACCGCCATTGCTCAAGCACAGTTCATTGAGCACATATTACAAACAGGTGGTATATCGTCTTCAACACGTTCAAAATTCTGCTACCAATAGTTGGATAGTTTCGAAAGGGAGAACAAATGGATACAGTTTGTACTGAAGCAATAAAGAACAATATTCGGTAGAGGAATAAAAATGGGGATAAATAAATTTGCTTAAAACATGCTTTCACAGGTTATAGAGCTCCATTACAGCTGTTCGTAGTCCTTTTTGGAAAGAATACATCGACATATTGATGTTATATTGTAATTCAAAACAAACGTTCGATTGTTTAAATTATTTTATAGTTCCCTGTACCAGAAAATGAACCGGACTATCCGCCACCAAAACCACCCAGGACTACTAAAAATGAATATTTTAATCCAGCTGAATTTATTTCTATAGATAATAATGTTAGAAAGGTAAGTCTATCATTCTACGACTGGAATTACTAACTCTGTGTGCTGCATGACAATGAATCTTGTCTATTCCTATCAAAACAGGGCCCAGTTTTTCTGTCTCTACACCAGACGACAACTGTCAAAATAGCTATCGGAGGTTGGAATAGAAGCAGATATTTCAGTCTACTAGTCATCATGACTGCTGAGATCTGTTAAAAGAATGTTAATTCAAAGTCAAAGTTCTAATAAATACAACTCGAAGGCATCGACTCGTTCGGGTGGAACAACAAATCGAGGCCCAATGTCATTCAAGTTGTTGAACATTACAACTATTTTGGTAAAATTTGCCAGTTATTGCCCGTCGCCAATATTAACTAATTTATTGCTTAAAGAAATAGAATAGCACAAGTAAACTGGCAATGTTGCTACCGTTACATTTCAATGTAAAATTACATGACTAATTCTTACAGTGTGGCAACTAAAATTTATAAATCAGTAATATATTCAAAGTGTATTTTAGATGATTATCTTTTTTCCAGTTAAAACATTCTCAAGCAGAAACCTATGAGGCTCTAGTAGGGGAGATAACCAATGGTCTGACCACAGATCTGCAGAAACTACGAGCTCTATATATCTGGTTGGGGAACCAGCCAATAGAAAACCAAGCCTACCCCAACGTTACAGACAATTCAACACCCAGAGGTTATATGAAAAACATTAAACATGGAAGAGGCAGTTTTACAGCTTTCTTTACTTTGTTATGCCGGTAGGTTAACTTCTAGTATCCTTGCTGTACTATTTCTACCGTGTTTTCCACGTTCTCCCTCTCAGACATTCTACTTTCTCACCCAAAGTACCCAGTCTCTGGTTCTTTACCCCTTTGGTCTCCTCCTTTCTTACCCCCGGGTTCAAACCCCATGGGTCTTTTGTACCTCTAGAATAGTTACATTACCTGCAGGTACCTCTTCGCCTTCCAACACAGAATCTGATTCTGGTCGAAAATAAAATACAAACGGAACGAAAGTTTGATCATATTTTGATTAGACCGGATCTAAATGAAAAACGAAGGAGTACTTTGAAAGTCTGTTTACCAAAGGATACCTGCTGATTATGTTTTCTCAGGTACGGTGTCGGAGTTACAATGACACGGAAAATAGCTCACGGTGAGCAAATCAGCTAAAATCAGTACCATTTTGTTATGAGATCAACAACCTTCCGATTAAAGATGTTTTTACTAACCCTGTTTCTATTTTTCAGGGCAGCTAAATTACCAACAGTTATCATTCAAGGGAAAGGAAAATCAATGAATTACGAAGTTGGTGATAAGGACTTCAGTAATCTGAACAGTCAATGGTGTGCCGTATACGTTGACGGAGATTGGAGGATCGTACACGTTCTGTGGTCCTTTAGAGCAGTATCTGGATTCAATCAAGGAAACTGGACGCAGATTGAGAGAGACAGAAAGGCCTTGAACACTAAAGATACAAGATCTTCTGGAAAAGGTGTGACTCAATTAAATGAATATTATTTCTTAACCGAGCCCGAGGAATTTATTTATAAATGTCGGCCAGATAAAGATCCCTGGCAATTATTAAGAACTCCGTGGTCTATGGACAAGTATACCAGTGTCCCCTACTGTAGAGAGAACTTCTTCAGTTCCGGCCTCGAAATCATCAGTGAAAATAACTGCATCCTGAAATCAGAAAAGGGGAAATGCTGGATTGAATTTGGACATGATCCAGAGGTAGAGCAGAATCTGAATTATGAATTTTTCCATAACGAGGAGGCCTCCGGGCAACCCCTGCCATCAGACCGGCGTCTCAACCGATTTGTTGCCTACAACAATGAAGTAAACAAGAAGAGCTTCGTTGTTCGATTTCCCTGTGTTGGCGTTTACAAAATGGTCATTTCCGAGATGGTCGAGTTCCTGCTGGATTGTCCTGATATCGGAGAATACGTAGACGAGTTTCCAGAAAATCCGCAGATTGGTTACGGTTACGGACAAACTGCACAATCGGCAGGTTTCACATCATCTAACCGTAATTATGGATTTATCTCACTTACACACAATGAAACCAAAATCTTTAATTTCGTCGTTGAAGATCCTACAAATTTCCAGGCGCAGTTCAAAGATGCTTCTACCAACACCGACCTGTCGACGTACGTTCAGCAGACCGTATCCGACAATGACGTTTCCGTACAAGTAACGATGCCTGAGGAACAAGCTGGTGACTGCGTCTTATCGATCAGCAATAAAAACAGTGTTGCGATCAACTATCTGATATCTACTGATAATATCGCACAGCCTGATTCGACATCGCCGGTAAGTGTTGCCTTCATCTTGTTCTGAAAGGGTTCAAACCGGGGAGAAACCCAAGGGTGCTGTTCTACTGTTTAGTACCATGACGGTCATCACGCTCAAACCACTCCTTCATTTATAACTTCTCCCTTAAATGAAATACATGTACGTCAAAATCCTGAAAATGGATCTGCTAGCTAGTTGAACAAGAAAGTTTTGAACAATGGTTGTTCATTGCTATCGTATCACAATATACTAGTTGAACAGGATAGTTTAGATCAATGGTTGCTCACTGCTATCTTATCACATTCTACTAGTTGAACAGGATAGCTTAGACCAATGATAGCTCACTGCTATCGTATCACAATCTGCTAGCTAGTTGAACAGGATAGCTTAGACCAATGATAGCTCACTGCTATCGTATCACAATCTGCTAGCTAGTTAAACAGGATATCTTACACCAATGTTTGCTCACTGCTATCGTATCACAATCTGTGAGCTAGTTGAATAGGATAGTTTAGACCAATGATAGCTCACTGATATCGTATCACAATCTGCTAGCTAGTTGAATAGCATAGTTTAGATCAATCGCTTCTTGCTGCTATCGTATCACAATCTGCTAGCTAGTTGAATGGGATAGCTTAGATCAATGATAGCTCATTGCTATCGTATCACAATCTGCTAGCTAGTTGAATAGGATAGCTTAGATCAATGATAGCTCACTGCTATCGTATCACAATTTGCTAGCTAGTTGAACAGGATAGCTTAGATCAATGATAGCTCACTGGTATCGTATCACAATCTGCTAGCTAGTTAAACAGGATAGTTTAGACCAATGTTTGCTCACTGCTATCGTATCACAATCTGCTAGCTAGTTGAACAGGATAGTTTAGACCAATGATAGCTCACTGCTATCGTATCACAATCTGCTAGCTAGTTGAACTGGATAGCTTAGATCAATGATAGCTCACTGCTATCGTATCACAATCTGCTAGCTAGTTGAATAGCATAGTTTAGATCAATGATAGCTCACTGCTATCGTATTACAACCTGGTAGCTAGTTGAACAGGATAGCTTAGATCAATGATAGCTCACTGCTATCGTATTACAACCTGGTAGCTAGTTGAACAGGATAGCTTAGATCAATGATAGCTCACTGCTATCCTATCACAAATCTGCTAGATAGTTGAATAGCATAGTTTAGATCAATCGTTTCTTGCTGCTATCGTATCAAAATCTGCTAGATAGTTGAATAGCATAGTTTAGATCAATCGTTTCTTGCTGCTATCGTATCAAAATCTGCAAGTTGGGCAAGTAAGTTTCGGATGAGATGACAAATGAATGCAGTCACCACTGAACAAAGGGCAATAACTCGATAGATAAAACAAACTGAATTGATATATGCTTTCCCACCAAATAAATCTTCATTTCTGTTGTCCGTAATCCTTTTTAGAATGAAAACCTGACGCCTCGTGGGTCTATAATTCAAAACAAAGTTAGGCCCTACTAGATTTAGAATTATTTTATAGTTCCCAGTACCAGAAAGTGAACCGGGCTATCTGCCACCAAAACCACCCAGGACTACTAAAAATGAATATTTTAATCCAGATGAATTTATTTCTATAGATAATAATGTTAGAAAGGTAAGTCTGAATATGACAGTAACATGGTGTTGTGCAACTCTAACTGACTGATGTTGAAAGCAATGTGTCAATCCCTTATTTGCTTCATTTTGAAATTTTAAAAGGCAAATTCACTTTTAAAATATAATAACTGAATTAGTGAAATTACAAAAATAGATAATACACATCAATGTACTAGCAACTAAGTTGCCATTCACTTTACATGTAAAATTACGGGATTGCTTCTTACAGTGTGGCAGATGATATTTCCAAATCTTCTTCCATTTAAAATGGTGTTTTCTATGATTTTCGTTTTTCCAGTTGAAGAAATCTAAAGCAGAAACTTATGAAGATCTAGTAGGGGAGATAACCAATGGTCTGACCACAGATCTTCAGAAACTACGAGCACTATATATCTGGTTGGGGAACCATCCAATAGAAAACCAAGCCTACCCTAATGTTTCTGATAGCTCAACACCCAGAGGTTATATGAAAAATATTAAATATGGCACAGGCAGTTTTACAGCTTTCTTTACTTTGTTGTGCCGGTAGGTTAATTTTTAGCACCTTTTGGGCCAGTCCCAGCATTTTACCCAACCCTTTCGTTTTTTCGAAACTAAACTAACGATTACCTGCTTGCCCTCTCTACATTGCGGAGCCCTTGGTATTTGGCTTTTGCTCATAAAGACAATAACAATGATCAGCGAGAGGATCTCTAAGAAAGGTATTTAACCAATTTGGTTTCTGATCAGCAGTAGAGATCAATGATGGAAGGAAATCTTTCCAAATGTATAACTTTATTTTTCAGGGCAGCTAAATTACCAACAGTTATCATTCATGGGAAAGGAAAGTCAATGAATTACGAAGTCGGTGATAAGGACTTCAGTGACTTGAACAGTCAATGGTGTGCCGTGTACGTTGACGGAGATTGGAGGATCGTACACGCATTGTGGTCGTTCAGAGCCATATCTGGATTCATTCAAGGTAACTGGACACAGATTGAGAAAGATGGAGAAGCCGTGAACACTAAAGATGAAAAATCTTCTGGAAAAGGTGTGACTCAATTAAATGAATATTATTTCTTAACCGAGCCCGAGGAATTTATTTATAAATGTCGGCCAAATAAAGATCCCTGGCAATTATTGAGAACTCCGTGGTCTATGGACAAGTATACCAGTGTCCCCTACTGTAGACAGGACTTCTTCAGTTCCGGTCTTAAAATTACCAGTGAAAAAAACTGCATCCTAGAATCCGAAGAAGGAAAATGCTGGATTGATTTTAAACATGCTCTGGAGGCAGACAAAGATCTAAATTATGAATTTTTCTATAACGAGGAGGCCTCTGGGCAACCCCTGCCATCAGACCGGCGTCTCAACCGATTTGTTGCCTACAACAATGAAGTAAACAAGAAGAGCTTCGTTGTTCGATTTCCCTGTGTTGGCGTTTACAAAATTGTCATTTCCAAGATGGTCGAGTTCCGGCTGGATTGTTCAGATATCGGAGAATACGCCGACGAGTTTCCAGAAAACCCAAAGATTGGTTACGGCTACGGACAAACTGCACAATCGGCAGGTTTCACATCAACGAACAGTAAATATGGTTTCATCGCTCTTAAACACAATGAAAACAAAATCTTTAAATTCGTCGTTAAAGATCCGACAAATTTTCAGACGCAGTTCAAGAATACTTCTACCAACAACGACCTATCGACGTACGTCCACCAGACCGTATCCGACAATGACGTTTCCGTACATGTAACGATGCCAGAGGATCAAGCTGGTGACTGCGTCTTATCGATCAGCAATAAAGACAGTGTTGCTATTAATTATCTGATATCAACTGATAATATCGCAGAGTCTCCTTCGTCATCGCCGGTAAGTGGTTGTTCCGTCTTGTTCTGAAAGGATTCAAAATAGGGAGAAATCCAAGGGTGTTGTTCCAGTGTTTAGTACTATGACGGACAATTCAATGCAGTCACTACTGAACAAAGGGCAAAAACTCGATTGATAAGGTAAAAAAGTTGATAAATTATCATTCAAAACAAACTAAGGCCTTACTTGAATTTAAATTATATTTTAGTTTTATGTACCAGAAACTGAACCCGGCCACCCCCCACCAAAACAACCAAGAACTACCAAAAATGAATATTTTAAGCCACTGAAATTTATCACTATAGATAATAATGTAAGAGAGGTAAGATTCTGCGAATGAATTTTATTTATCAATTCAGTATGTCGCTGTTGAAATGTGTTTTTGATTATTTACTGGAAAGAAAGAAAGAAACATCTATCGTACAAGGATCACAACTTAGGTTCACATCATTTCTGCCAGCTGGTCCTTGATCAAGCCCCCGTTTGAAAATAACTGAACAAGATGATTTTAAAGAAAAAGCGTCTTGCAGATAATATAGAGTAATAAACAGAGGCTCCGTGTGTTACAGGTTGTGCACCTTGACGATTGCCATTTAATCTAATGTCAAATTACAGGATTGCTTCTTACAGTGTGGCAATAAACAGAGGCAGTGTTGTGCAACTCTAACTGATGTTGAAAGCAATATTTAAATCCCCAATTTATTTCATTTGAAATGTTAAAAGGCAAATTTACTTTTAAAATATAATTACTCAATTATTGAAGCAAATATTACAAGATAGCTTGCCAGGCAAGGTAACATACGCCCACTAGCAGCTTTGATTTTGAACATAAATATTTAGCAGTACAGTAACAATCACCAGTATGAAATATTCAACCTTCAGTTATACACTACTTTTGAACTCTTTAGAGCGATACTGAATAATATTGAGTATGAGTTATTGCCCTAGTTCTTGAAAACGTGTTCAATTTTTAGCCCGTGAAAACTCTAGAAGACAAATATTCAATCTTCAGCGCGGTACTGAATAATAAAACCAAGTTTTGTCAAAATCTGGCAAGAATCATGCCTTCTAGAGTTTTTACGAGCTACAAATTAAACGAGTTTTCAAGAACAAGGGCAATAACTCATACTCAATATTTTTCGATTTTTCTGATTTTCAATAGGGTTCATCCTTGGGTGATTAAGAACACTCACACCAAGTTTCGCCAAAATCCGTCAAGAATTGTCCCTTCTAGAGTGTTTACAAGCAACAATTTGAACGCGTTTTCAAGAACAAGGGCAATAACTCATACTAAATTTTTCAATTTTTCTGTTTTTCAATACGGTTTATCCATGGGTGATAACCAACACTCATGCCAAGTTTCGTCAAAATCCGTCAAGAATTGTGTCTTCTTGAAGGCAAGGACAATAACTCATAGTAAATATTTTTCGATTCGTCTGATTTTCATGTGGGCGTATAAAAATAACATAATATACAACAATGCACTAGTTGCCATTCACTTCACATGTAAAATTGCAGGATTGCTTCTTACAGTGTTGCAGCTGATATTTCAAAATATGGTTCCTTTTAAAATTGTGTTTGCTATGATTTTCGTTTTTCCAGTTGAAGAAATCTAAAGCAAAAACTTATGAGGCTCTAGTAGGGGATATAACCAATGGTCTGACCACAGATCTACAGAAACTGCGATCTCTATATATGTGGTTGGGGAACCAGCCAATAGAAAACCAAGCCTACCCTAATGATACTGATAATTCAACACCCAGAGGTTATATGAAAGATATTAAACATGGCAGAGGCAGTTTTACAGGTTTCTTTACCTTATTATGCCGGTAGGTTAATTTCTAGTACCCCTAGTCCCACACACTCAGTGACAGTGCTAGTGGGGGTATAAGGGCGACATTAGCCCCCTAGAAAAATGGTTTATATCCCCAATTTCACCCCACTTCATCTCTAACAAATTTATGAAATATAATTTTAATACGTTTTTGCACCAAAATATCTGTTAGAAGGCACCATAAGCAGTTCTATTTTTCAAAAGTTTTCTTCTAGAGGACCCTTTGAATCTTGTGTCATTTGAATTTAGGCGCCGCCACAGCATGCTCTACTCATATCTCCCACTTCCTCTCCCGAAGTACTCCTCCAACTTGCCCCAACCATTTTCGTTTTTTCGGAACCAAACCAACAGTGACTTGCATGTCTTTTAGGAGGCAGGTCATCTCAACATTTGGAGCTCTCGGTATTTGGTTTTTGCACAACAGAAAAGCTTTAACAGTTAGAATGGCCAGCTCGAGACCAATGATGGAAGGTAATCTTTGTAACTGTATAACTTTTCAGGGCAGCTAAATTACCAACAGTTATCATTCAAGGGAAAGGAAAGTCAAAGAATTACGAAGTCGGTGATAAAGATTTCAGTAATCTGAACAGTCAATGGTGTGCCGTGTACGTTGACGGAGATTGGAGGATCGTACACGTTCTGTGGTCGTTCAGAGCCGTATCTGGATTCAATCCAGGAAACTGGACGCAAATTGAGCAAGATGGCGAAGCCATGAATACGAAAGATGATAAATCTTCTGGAGAAGATGTAATGGACTTGAATGAATATTTTTTCCTTACCGATCCCGCGGAATTTATTTATATATGCCGACCAGCTAAAGACCCCTGGCAATTATTGAGAACTCCGTGGTCTATGGACAAGTATACCAGTGTCCCCTACTGTAGACAGAACTTCTTCAGTTCCGGTCTTAGAATTACCAGTAAAAATAACTGCATCCTAAAATCCGTAAAGGGAAAATGCTGGATTGAATTTCGTCATGATCCGAAGGTAACCATGCGTTTGAATTATAAATTTTTCTATAATGAGAAGGCCTCCGGGCGACCCCTGCCATCCGACCGGCGTCTCGACCGGTTTGTTGCCTACAACAATGAAGTAAACAAGAAGAACTTCGTTGTTCGATTTCCCTGTGTTGGCGTTTACAAAATTGTCATTTCCGAGATGGTCGAGTTCCGGCTGGATTGTTCAGATATCGGAGAATGCGTAGAAGAGTTTCCAGAAAATCCGCAGATTGGTTACGGCTACGGACAAACTGCCCAATCGGCAGGTTTCACATCAACGAACCGTAGTTATGGATTTATCTCTCTAACACACAATGAAACAAAAGTCTTTAATTTCGTCGTTGAAGATCCGAGAAATTTCCAGACGCAGTTCAAGGACGCTTCTACCAACACCGACCTATCGTCATACGTCCGCCAGACAGTATCAAGAAATATCGTTTCCGTAAAAGTAAAGATGCCGAAAGACCAAGAAGGTGACTGCGTCTTGACGTTCAGCAATAAAAACCATGTTGCCATCAACTATCTGATATCTACTGATAATATCGCACAGACTGATTCAACATCGCCGGTAAGTGTTCCACCGTTTTTTTTTCATGATGTCAACATTCATGTATTACCAACTTCGTCTAATGAACTTTACCAGATATTTCCTTTACCTTGTTCCGAAAGGGTTTAAGTTTTTATATATGCCCAACGAAAGTGTTTCTTTAGCTCGTCAAACTGGGGAGAAACTCATGCGTGCTGTTCCACTGTTTAGTACCATGACGGTCATCACCCAAACCACGCCTTCATTTATAACTTCTCCTTTCATACGACATACATGCATGTCAAAATCATGTAATTGGATGAATGGTGGTAGACTTTATGTCAGTAAATCAGTAAAACCACGTCTTGACACTGTTCGAACATGGTAATATCTGTGAACTATTTTCTTTGACAACTGCAGAGACCTAAACAGTGTAAGCAACGTCTCACATAGCTCGACAAATCTGGCACTACTCGGACGTGATATACGGTTGTGATATCGTCACGGTTAGGGCCAAACTCAAAAGGTCACATTCTATGGGAGTTGCTCCGTTCCGATTGCTAGTTTTCGAGAATTATCATCTTGCCAATTTGGCAAAACTCTTGGTATCGATTCAAAGCTGAACCATAAAGGAAACCATCAAAACAATCCCAGATATTCTGCAATATCCCTGTTTCCCACATGGTATCATAATACAGTCGAGGGTGGATTTTCCTCTTCTTCCTACCACTCGGTATATTAAGCCTACCTCCCTGACTGTATTGGTATTGGAACCTGAAAACTGGAATGATAAATTCAAATGTGACGCTCACTAACCCTTTAAATGGATCTTTGAACGAGAAATTTAGGTTCTCATAGACAAAGGGGTTACTGTTGAATTTCCATGCATGTGCTTATTGAAATGTGACCTACTTTAAATGTACATGCATTGGAAAAGAAATTTTTATACAGGAATATTTTGTATGAATGAGAATCAAGAATTAACAATTTGAAGATATTTGGATGCTTAAATTCAACCCCATCAGTTTTGACGTAAAGAAATAAATCTGAAAATATCCTTTGATTCAGAGAAGAGAAGAAAAGAAATACGAGATGCTAGAGATGCCCTTGAGACAAGCTACTGTATCGGAAATCGCGAGCTACACACGACCTAAACCTTTTATACATGATGTTATGAAGGCCACTTATCTACTGCTGGGTGAACGAGAGAAACAATTAAATGTAAGAACACCTTAACAATTGAAGGTTTGAATTCTATTCCACCACACATCAATTGAAAGTATGAACCAATCCCCCGTTTCCAGTGTTTGGAAAGTAATGTGCGAATTTTATCAAAATAAACGCACAATTGTAGAAAAATATGTTTCCTACTTATTCCGAAAGATTCAACTAAATTGTAAAACCGTCCCTTTAACATTTGATTTGCACGAATTATCGTTTGTCTATTTATTTATGTAGAGTTGGAAGCATATACAGAAGTTAAGTCGTAAATCAGGAAAAAGGAGTCTAATAAGAAGAATCAAGGAATTTGACCGTGTCAATTTAAAGAGACCAGTCGTTCATAGATCTGATACTTTGTTAGATTTGTATGATAACCGTACAGTTTGCTTGAGCAGTGCTGGGGCTGGCACCTTCTTTAAATGGGTAAGTAATCTATCAGTTAAAAGAATTTTTCTAATAATTTCATGTGTATTGTGGACAGTGATAGCAGCATCGATTTCTTACCAACCTTCTATTTGCACCATTCAAAATTCAGATTAATCCTTATAACTGAAAAGCTTGATCTGATTATGACATCACTTTTATAAAACATGCCTACCTCTACCATTCTAGTTTCAATCCAGTTAGAAAACATCATTAGAGCCTCTTCATCTCCGTATCTTCTTATTGATTCAATGAAATTCTACTGTTGTACTGTGAGCATGATGATGTGACTCCTTTGACTTGCAGCATTAGGAGGGACTTTCTGGGCATTTCATTGATCCATTCTAGTCCTGTCAGCTTTCAGGGTTCGTTTTACTGACTTGAAACTGTATAAACTGAAATAACAATATTTAAATACAATATTACATGTAGGCCTACTCTTTATGACTAAACTTTAATAAGTTAAATAAGGTTAGCTGAGAAGTGAGATGAGCCGAGTTCCGAACGTAGCCTACGGCCTCAGGCGGCTACTCGAATTATGGTTATAAAATACTTACATTTTAAATATAAAATATACATCAAATGATTCTCTAATATTATGTTAATAGTTTTACAAATATAGAAAATAATTCATGATCACCTCTTCCATTTTGCTTAACAAAGAACAATCATCAAAATAGAAACATTCATTTTGATCAAAACCTGACAAAAGTGGACGTTGAGCGTATGACGTCATGATGTCAATGACGTGGCCTCCTAGTAACGATGTCGTCTAAAATAAGAATATGCACTGTGAAACGTGTAAAACGACGATTAGGAAAACGCAGTGCAATCCAATACAATTGTTCAACAAATGCCCCACCCTCATAACGTCAAGCTATAGCGAACTTAGCCTATACCTTGGCTGAAATTGCCACATTATATCACGGCGGTTTGTAAATACAGCGATGTGTTTGGATTGTACGCTAGCAAATACAGCCAATCAGGGGACTCGTCTCCTACGCCTATGGTGAGAATCTATTTCATTATTTTTCAGAGTCGTAATACAATTGATGTGCACGAAGGTGAACGAAGTCGAAGTTCATTGTAGCAAGGTATAAGTCAAGGTATAAGACGAAGTATAGGATGGGTAGTCATGCACCCAACAAATCCACATTAATCAGAAACTAGAAGTAGGCTAAACAATACGAATTAGTATTATATATTAATGAAGATCTGTAAAGGGTCTTTTCCTGAGAAGCAAAAATCCTGTTTTTTTATCAGTTACGTTTTCAATTGTAATGTTTTCCGTAGACATCAAATAAGCAATTTTTTTAGCGGATTATTTATTTAGTTTATTGAAATTGTTTTTAGAGGGGTACGAGGTATTGATGTAGGGCCTAGTTATTTTTATTTTATTTTATTTTTTCGCCTTATAAAAGCAGTCTTGAAACCATCAGATTCTGTTCGAATAAGATCTACTGTGATATTTTTTTTATAGAATTTTGGATAGTTACTATATTCTCTTTATTATCTCAATTCAACGTTCGTTCAATATCCCATATAGAAATATAATGCTGCAACGGAATACCGGTATACAAGATTCAGTCTATACTAAACAGGATCAAGGATGGTGATTTAGTAGATGATGAGTTAACGTTTGCTTCTAGCGGATGCAGATATCGCAAACTAAGTAGTTGTTGGTAGTCGTAGTAGTTTGATTCAAATTGGATGATTCTGTGCTGCGACCAAAGACACCAGAATATGTGATACTGTATTGCTGTGATTACTGCTCATTAAGGTCCCCTGTGAAATATAATCTCTATCTGTTAATTATCTGTATTGCTTGTTTGATTCTTCTTTCAGTTTACTCTCTGATTTGTCTTTATCTCTTTCCTTTGTTGTTACCTATGAAGTTGCTCACTGGACAAATTCTCACTGGAAAAATGCTCGTTGAAAGTTATAAGATATTTTATAAGTATATATCCATAAAACTTTCCTTTTTTTACCCTAATATGTTATTTATTATCCATAAAATTCCAATAAGAGTTCTGACAAAAGTAGAATATAGTTGAGTTTGATCAATAACACTGTTAACGTTAGTATTACTAGCTGTTATTTGTTATATATTTACTTTGAAATAAATCTGTTATAAACTAAAGTATTTGTGCTACATACATGTATTTGAATCCACCATGATCACTGTTTTTAAGAGTCTAAGTCCCTTAGCACGTAAATGGAGAACACTGTTTTTGGTCAAATAATTATAGCTAGATAATATAGTAACTGACGTTGTGCCAATCCGCTGGCAAGTTACACATGATAGAGGCAAAATAGATGATTATGTCCGAATCTTTGTACGTTTATTTCATTTTACAAACAAACAATACCATTGTGGTCTGAAGGATGAATCTATATAACTCGTTATTCCCCTTTGGTTCAATTCATTTTGGATATCTTATAAGTGGTGTTTATCAAGGCAGAACCATGCATCAAGTTTGAACTGTTGTCCGCCTCTTAGCAGAGTAATGCTATCCAACAGGCCCGTAACTAGGCGGTGCCCCCCCCCCCCCCCACCTTTTCAAAATTTGAATAAGTTTCTATCTTTGTTAGACCTGTATTACAGATACCCTCGCGGTGGCCCTACTTGGGCTGGATACGGGCCTGCTATCCATGATAGGATTTCGTATAGGACAGAGTATTCATCTATCTAGCTGGGCCTTAATTTAGACCTAGGCCTAGTCTGCCCGGCTTGTGCTTATTTACATGTAGGCCTATGGGTTGACCAGTCCCGTCGTTAGGATGGGGTCCATGGGGACCGGGCCCCAGCAAAACCTTCTTCAGTTCAGCAGAGATTGATTCATGTACAGTGTCTTAGTACAAAATCAGAAAGATAAACATTTTGATACGTTTTTGGTACCTCAAAATTGTCAGAAATGAGTTCTCTCTGGGCCTTTAATTCTTCAAAATCTGAGCCCCAGCGCCAATTCATTCCTGGCGACACTAAATATATAGTCCATATCGGACAGCCCCCAAAAGTATAGTTACCTACCAGAAGGTATATAGGCCTACGGTACGTACGGGATTCAGATGATTAAATAAGTTCTTTCTCTGATCCAATAAGCTGTCTAAATCCTTAAATGGCACAAAAACATAACAGATCTTCTTGTCTTCTTACCGATTTCAAATTTCAAAAAACATCGTCTGCTACAACAAAGCGCGGGAAATTATCGACCTTGATCAAGGTTAAAGATGGCGCCACAATCTGTCAGTTTATGGGTATGAATTGTATTAAATATTTACATATTATATTGAGCCATGCTATTATAACAACGATACAGTTGAGCTGACAAATGGGTCATTGAATTCAAATGGGAATAACAAAGCCGCTGTATGGCCATTAAGTAACAGTGTTATACAGTATGTAGGTGTAAATAGGTAAAGTCGAGCAGATTGGGATGGTATATGAATAAATATATGCGTATTCATAATTTTGATAACGGCCTTGTCTTGCTCTGATATAACGTTTGTGACTAGGATAACGTAACTGTAATGTTCTTGAAGGATTAACACTGTGAGCTCGGATTTATTTCTGTATATTAATACTACAAGGATTACAACTTCAAACTAGGCCTACCGGAGCAGGTGCCCACTGTCATGTCCCAGGTGTATCAACAAGCTCTTCAAAGAGCTCTCAATGCATTATCAACTGCAGAGCAATCAGCTCCAGACACAGGTAAGGCTGAAAATAAGTTACTTTGGGTATATTTGTCATCTTGTTCGACCTGTCAAACCTGAAATTTAAATATTTGCCATAACATCAGTTTAAACTCTGACTACAGTGAGCTCAGGATTGAATTTTATCTGTCAATTAAAAAGATATTCAAATTAAAATATGCAATTGCTTGCCCTTAGTCTCGAATGGCTGAACTACCACAGGGACTAGTTGAACCACAGGCCTCCATCCTTGAGGGGGCCCCACCCTGAAAAAATGCAGGAAAGCATTTTGATATAAGAAATTTCCCAGGGGAGGAACCCCAAACCACTTAAATCCACAGACCCCCACCAGCCCCGTCGTTACGGTGGGGACTGTGGGGGCTGGGCCCCAGCAAAACCCTCTTCAGATCGGCAGAGATTGATTCATTTACAGTGTCTTTGTTCGAAAACAAAAAAATATAGATTTTGATACGTTTTAGCACCTCAAAATTGTCAGAAATAAGTTCTCTGAGCCTTTAATTCTTCAAATTTTCTGAGTACAAAATCCGAGTCCCAGCACCTGTTTGTCTCAGTTGAATTTTGGGGTTGATATTTCAATTCACGTTAAAAGGATTGGCATAATGCAATTGTGGTCAACATTAGTATAGTGTTACAATGAATAAATATAACCTAAATGCTCTTTATAAGATAGTGACAAGCTTACAGAAAACACATTTTTTTTGGAGATTTAGACCCTGAAATATTAAAAATAGCTCTCTTGATTACATTCTTCCAGTAAGCTTATGGGCTACATCTTTTATTACATTTTTAGAGTCACAAAGCTTCATTTTTAATATGATAAGATTCAGACCTGCAAAATCAATGTGTTTGAAGGAAAGACAGTCACTTGATAGTCTTAGGCCTCTAATATTTGATCTCTGTGAAATTTTTAAGAATATTGTAGTGACAATTGTGGGGAATTTGGTCACTAAAAGCCTTAAATCTCTCATAATACAACATGAAGAATATAAAAAATAAAAAAAAAATAATTCAGGTGAAAAAATAGATTCATTCATTTATTCATTCATTCATTCATAAACAAAACTGGTCTTAAACACAGTGTTAACACGATTAACCCCTTGACCTGTATTTTAATAATTAAACACAAGTACATACTTAAAGCGACTGTAAAGAGATTTTATAAACTTTATATAAGTATCAGGAATATTGACAGCATCAAATTGCAACATTCTGTTCTAAAATCTGACGCCTGTGTTTCTTGCTATTCCACTCACAAGTAATCATTAGGGGACGTCGCTACTGCAAAAAATGCAAATAATATCTCAGGGCCTTGGCAATAGTGACGTCATTAAACACTTACTTTTTGTGGAGTTGCAAACACCTACATATATTCGAAATGGGAAATGGTGCAAATCATTGCTATCCTGTGTCCCTGATACACATAAAAAACCTTTTTACCTTCCCTTTAAACCATAGATAAGTTGGTGTGAGGTCAATTAAAAGGGTCAACTCAGGCCCCTCTTTATAGACGTATTAAAATTATTGAGTATTTGACTGAACTATAATTCTATTAAGTTATGAAGGATATTAAGGTTAGTGGTTTTATAAATTTAGAGATTAAAGGTTATGGGATTATCTTTTTTCACCAAAAATGAAATTGAATTCATGATATAAATTAAATGTCCTTATGGATGACAGTGGCGTGCGGTACAGAAAAGTGGTTTGCACCCCCAATTGTACCTCTTTATTTTCAACAAAACTAAATGTCTACCTTTTTTCTCCAAAATATTTGTCAGAATGCACAAAATTAATTCATTTTTTCTCAAATTTTCTTGAGAGAACCCTCTAACATGCTCTATGAGAGACTTGCTATTATGACACTACCACAGAGTAACCTAAATTTGAATTCAGCCTCAGCAGTTGGCCCCCATTGAGTCAGTCTGCCCCTTATTTGTACCCCCAGTCTCGGAAAGCTGGCACCGCTACTGATGGATGATAATGATTTTAATAGATATATGACTGTATTCTATCAAGTTAGATCTACCTGTTAACTAATAGATTTTGATTTGGATAAATATATGTTGATTTTCCCATTGTGATGTAGAATGTGAATTAACTCTTACTACTTGACAGAATATATGGTAATTCCTGCTGTTAATAAAAAGTAAGAGTTTTTTTTCAAGATTTATTAACTGTAATAAAAGTTTAAAACTATTTCTAAAGAAATAGTAAAGTGAAAATAGTAAGTAAAATGAAAAACCGTATTTGAATATTTCAATCTTTCAAAAGATAAGTTACTACAAACATAAGCTTAAGGAAGATCAAAGGGATATCAAAAATCAACTAGCTAACAAATTAGAAACATAACAATTTTATCTAAAACTTGAAAATCCAGTGTTCTATGCATCAAATACAAATTTTATTCATTTGTTTCAACACAGTTTTAAAATTTCAAGACCACATGATGCAAAAATATTTAAAATTCACAAGCACCATTGGTCAGTTGAGATATATTTGAATAAAAATTTGAAATTATTGTTAATAATTGGTGGTAATATTTAAAAACTGTCTGTTCACCTAGTATAAAACTCTTTATGTTAACTGTGGCCAGGTAGAAACTCACCTGTAGAAGACTAGTTAACCTGTTTCTCTCAAGTTTAATGATTCATGTTTAACGAGCTTGTCCTCATTAACTATGTTAATATCAGAATGTGTTTCACCTGTACTTAAACAGGACGGACTTACTACCCAGCTTCATGGTATGTCTCATTTTTCTGATTTACACCTTTTTTGATTTAAAAAATTGTATTTTTTTTTGGTGATTTTTTCTCCTGATTTATGCATTTTTGATGTTGAATTGATCTTCTCAAATTTGTTCATTGAGAAATTTGTCTCACCCTTCTTATTTATTGTATTAGTATGATACAAGCTGTATGTGTCTGCAAAAGTTAGAGCCGTAATGTTGTGTGGAAAATGCTTTTTTAGGAGAATAACATCAGTTCAAAGTGATGTCTGCATTGATGTCAATTTGAGGCTGCTTATGTTTTAGGATTGTCAATCAGGCATCCCTTTCAGAGAGTCCACAATGTTTATTCGGCAAGCTTATCAATGAAAATATTTTTCTCACTATTAAGATTAATTGATTTATGGTGTTTAATAGATCAGCTTTATAACTTTATCGTACCCTGAATTATCAGTTTAAATATACACCACTTGACACCAATATCATATCTACATTAGAAGATTACACCCTCTAGGTTGACTTACCTCCATTTTGTTCTCCATTGGAAATTTAACATTTTTCTTTCTATACTATACCATTGCCTATTCCCAAGTGTATGTTTTTTCCTTATGGAAGATTGTGTGACTGATCTCTTGTCATCCGCAAAATTGAGTTGACTTGCAGGCCTACAAAAACATATACTTTATATCAATGAAAAATTTCCCTCATTGCATACATCATTTATTGAGATTATTTATTTGTCAACTCAGAATCTCCTTTGTATAGGTCACAAGTTTAGCGGAAATGTTTTGGTATATTTATTATTGACCCGAATATTGTTAATCCCATTGACTAATCCTGAACATGGCCGAGTAGATTATAATAGATTATCATTCAAGAGTAGGGATTAGTAAATCTAGCCTGAAATCTTATTATTTGTGTCAGATAAGCATAATATGATAACTAAAATCTTGTTTTGGTTTTGTTGTGCTAATTTGAAGACAATTTATGTTATACTACTCCTTGGTTTTATAAATTGTCAGAAGTAATATACCTTATAATTGTGTTCTGTTATTTATAATGAAAAAATGTCTCTATTAGAGGAAAAAAGAGTCTGTCAATCAGGCATAACAACCATGCTGTGCACTGACAACTTATTTTTCATGTGATGATGACAATGTAAATTGTTCAAACTTTGTATACAATTATTAACTCAGGAGACGTATTCCATAAAATTGCTTTCATTAATGTGATCTCTACCCCTAAATGTCCCTTATTGCTGATTTATTGTTGGTATTAAGTCAACTAGCTATAAAGTGCATTGTTTATTAAATGTGTTTAAATATTTTTTACACCCTCTAGGAACACTCTTGATACATAATTTATCAGTTATATTTTTCTAGTTTCCCAGTCAATCTTTGTTTGTTGGTGTGTAATAGAATTATTATTGATTCAACATGTTTAACATATTGTCTAACAAACACAAGATACTAGACTTGCATCTTTCAGTAGTTCATCAAGAACCCAATGCTATATTGAATACCACCAGGCTTTGAATTCTATTATAGAACTTAATTTAAGCTATACGTGTCATTTTTCAAAACTGAATCTGATGGCTGGTATATTGGTGAAATAATGAAAGTGTATGTCTACTTCCAGGGTTGTTTAATATTGACCCATGGCGTCTATTTGACTGATACACTATGTTTAATGTACTATAATACCATAAGCACTGTCTATTAAAGATATGATTTACTTGGTTAGAATGAACTAATAGTGGTTGCTGTTTGACATGTGAAATCCTGATGACCATGAATAAGTCATCTTTCCTCTTTATTCCAGTCAATCCAGTTGAAAATGGGTACTGAATAAGTCATCTTTCCTCACTGACCCAGCTGTAAATGGGTACTGAATAAGTCATCTTTCTTAACTGACCCAGCTGTGAATGGGTACCAAATAAGTCATTTTTCCTCACTGACCCAGCTGTAAATGGGTACTGAATAAGTCATCTGGCCTAACTAACCCAGCTGTAAATCGGTACTGAATAAGTCATCTTTCCTAACTGACCCAGCTGTAAATGGGTACTGAATAAGTCATCTTTCCTAACTGACCCAGCTGTGAATGGGTACCAAATAAGTCATCTTTCCTCATCGGTGAATGGGTAAGAAATAAGTCATCTGGCCTCATTATTCCAGCTGTAAATCCAAAAGAGTCTGAAGGCAAGATATTTGGTCTAGGACAAGCTGATAGACAGGATTATCATGAGACTAAGTTCCATTTAACATCAATGTCAAGAGGTTTGGCCATGACCAGTAGGTCATCCTAGTGAGCCTTAGTTCTGCTTTATAATTGTCTTATGAAAACTACATCAGATTCCTAGCACACTATAATAAATAATGTTTGTATAACTAGTTACATAACTGCCATCTTGAGATTTATTACTATATGTATTTTATATAAACATCTTCTAACCTCAAACATATTCTGACACTTGTTGGTAAAACCATGACACTGTTTATTATATAATTTGTCAGTTATTCCTAGTCTGTGAATCTAAAGAGTAGGAAGTCTTGTGATATTTATAGTGGATTTGAATGACAGTTTAATAAAACATGGATAAACAAGGTACATTTCTTTACTATAAGTTTTAGTACACGAGACAGAAATGCTGACATTGTCTTTGTCATTCAATCAGAACATAATAACCAAGTTTATAATGTTCGTTAATTTTGTTGATTTGGCAGAGAGTCTGCATTGTTTTAACTGTGTATTTATGTTCGCAGTCATTTCTGAAAGTTAGCTATTAATGTTTGTTAAATTTATTTGGGGTTGTCTATTTAGATGAGACGCTGAATGTTTAAATAAACATTGATATTAATTCATTCATTGTTCTTTTGGAGTGTTCACATGGCTAATAATTGTATGATTAATGTATAAATCATTAAGAGATTGTAGTAGATGTAAAATTATGTTAATAAGCAGATAAAGTGATGTATAATAAGTGGTATAACAAGGCACACCCTAAACCTCAGATTACCTTGTTTACTTTACAAATAAGGTAGTTTGAAACAAGGCTAGATGTTGTACCTTTTATTTGGTTAGAAACATCTTCTATTCTGCATAATAAATACTTTACTAAAGCAAGTTGTACATAGTTAGATATGGTTTTATATCCTAGTTTTCTACTCTTAATTAGGCTCATGAAAATGACTTTTTGGTTCTACTTTTCTGTTGCTGTGTAAGCTCATAAACAAGTTTTGTCTCTTACTTTTTCCTGTTCCTGACAACGTTCTTGAACAAAGATAGTTACTGTATATACTTTTATTTCAGCAACGTTACAAATTTATTTTATAAAATATTTTATCACCTTAGATGTTTTTCGTTTTTTACGATTCACAATTTCTCACGGTTCACGAACAATATATAAAAATAATAAAAAACAAATTTACATATGTCTATATTTTATATTTTTATGACTAGTGTTTTATTTTGTCATGTTTTTAGATGTTGAACTTAAACAGTTTTTACAAATCAGGTTTTGATTGAGCTATAAATTTTAAATCGTAAAGGGAAATAGTTGTTGAAATATTTCAACTATCTGTAGAACTTTTTGAAGTAAAATTCTGGAATATAGTTAGGCGTCAATTAAATAAACTTGATCGTAACTGGTGTAAATTTTGAGTCTAAGTTTCTACACTATGTTTATCTCTTGTATAAATCACATCCTTGATAATGTCACTATTTTTTTTCAACTCCTAGGTCTTGGCCTCACTTCTGATAAAATCTTCAGATAGTTGAGATTTTTAATATGTGAATTTTCACACTGAGATTAGTATTTGATGTTCATATGTATGTGAAAAATGAGAGTCGGATCTTTAGTTTTAAAAGAGCAACACATGAAGTTGATAATACAAAACCCACGTAATTTACATGGTTTAAGTTTAATATATTTTTGACCTGCTATTTTACTGTCTCCATGTCATTGCATATTTTAACTCAATTTTACAAACTAATTGTAGTTTTATAGGTCAAATTGACAATTTAACGCTTGGATGTTCGCTTCTTGCACAAATTTACAAACTGTATATAATATATTTTACAGAGTGTGGGCAGGCTTCAAAATAACAAAAATTGAAAAAAATCACATCTTTCGTTAGGCACATATTCATCTATTTCTGTTTATATCTTAAAGTCACTCTTGGTTTTTACCGTGTGATACAGGCTGTGCACGTTAAAGATCCCTTCTTAAATTGGAAATGAAATGAAATAGAGTAGTCAAATGCCACTGTCCTGACAAAATTTCCCTCATGCTGTTGTCCGTCTTCATTAGTCCACTAGGTGCAGAAAAGTAGGACGTAAAACTCTACTCGTTTTATTTCATTTCCTTTCAACTATAGAGAGAGTAATTCTAGTTTTATAACTTTTGTCCAAGACATTATGAATTTCAAATTTTTGTCACCATAACATTTAATTGATAACTTTGCTCTTAGACTATGATATAGTGAATATAGTAAGTAAAAAATATGCAAAGAACCCTGTCACTAAACTATGACAGGAAAACACCTGTTTAGTGAACAAGCTACTCATAACTCATTTCCGTTTACAGCAAGACAAAAAAATCACCATATATTGAATACCGGAATTATTTTACAACATATTTTATTTTGAAATAAAGAAAAGGACTAGAACTATTACCTATAAAGATATATTGTATATTGTAACTATGAATGACTGTACAAGACCCTTGATATTATAAATACAATCCTTATATAGTAGGCAGACGACCCCCTTTCATTCATAAACAACAGTATTATGGGCCCATGTTGACAAATGGAATACTTTTACACCTACTGAAGTAACCCAGATTTTATATAAATAGAGCCATCATTGATATACTCTTATCCTCTACCCTGTAAACTTCTTCAATAAAAACCTCTCTTTATTAAAAGGTGATCAAGTGTAAAAATTATCTGATGCAGAAAAGATTGAGGCTTTAATGACATTTTAATTTTCAATTCAATATTTATTTTTTGGCAAATGAGGTTTGGGTTGGGATTGATATAAGATGGCTATGACATCATAAAGACTTAGATATTCTTGGTGATATTATGATCAGTTTTCATTTATCTATCCTATCCTATAATACAATTGTTTCCTTCATAAGTTGTTTATTCATTCTATTGTGTCAAAAACAGCTTAACTGTTCATTCATTCATTCATTCATTTCATTATTTATTTATTCATTCATTCATTCATTCATTCATTCATTCATTCTTTATTCCTTTGGTTAGTTTTTCATTCATTCATTCATTCATTTCATTATTTATTTATTCATTCATTCATTCATTCATTCATTCTTTATTCCTTTGGTTAGTTTTTCATTCATTCATTTAACCATTCATTCATTTAACCATTCATTCATTCATTTGGCCTTCAAACGATTAAAAAATTATTAGGAATATGCACAAACAAATCGCGTACATTTATGAACAACAAGTCCTTAAAATAATATAAATCTCATAGAGAATAGTTTTAAAAAGATAAAACGCCCAACAAAAGAAAATGAAGAGAGTATAGATGATGGATTAAACTCTGACTGTGAGATATCTTTATAAACTTGTCTTCAAAAGAAACTGAACTAGTGTTGAAAAATAACAAGCAGGGATTGTTTATGAAGTGGGCTATTTTTCGCCAGGCTAGCCTGCTGTGTTTGCTGTACGATTTATAAATAGTCATTGAAGCTTTAACAGCTATAAATAGATTGAGAAATGTCAAACCTGTAAAAATATTCATGAAATATTCGCTTTTTTCATTTTTGATTGGGAATGCTGCAACACAGGTTGTATGTTAATGAATAAATTAATAGTTGTGAAGTTTAAAACTTTAAAATGTTTGAGAAAATGTCAAACCTGTAAAATTATTCTTGTAATATTCGTTTATTTCATTTTTGATTAAGGGAATGCTGCAACAAAGGTTGTATGTTAATGAATAAATGAATGCATGGATGAATAAATATATGAATAGATGAATAATTAAATAAGTAAATGAATAAAAGATTCAGGAAAGTTAAACCTCACATTGGAAGTTTTAGCTTCAGAGATTTGTTATTGACACCTTCAATTAATCAGTGAAACAAATCAGAAAATAAGGAAATTCTAATTGGAACCTTCCCACTAATATGACTGTCCTGGCCCTTATTAAAATCACTGCATAGAGCAAGTATTGCCCCCATCTTCCTTATAGCTCAACCAAAAAAAAAACCAATCTCTTCAAATGGAGTATTATAACCATAGATAATTCCTAGAATGGATGAACATTTGTCCTTTATATTCTGCTTGTTTTCTTTTTTCCAATTCATAATTTGGCCATCCTTGGGATTTCGTAGTAGTAGAGGGGTCGCACATGAAGCAGACTATGCTTAACCTTTTCAAAACACCTGATGGTACTTCTCTTTGGAGGTGTCCACTACTATACTACTTTACCCTCGATTTTGGACGAAATTTTGATTAACAGAATTATCTAGTTGTATGGAGTTTTATTTGTATTTATCATCTTTTTTGACTACAGTCTGAACAAATATCATATTCGATAACCAGCTGAATTCTAAATGTTTTCTCATTTTATCGTTTCAGGTTTCTGTACCTCTACTCCAGACAACAGTCGAATCAAAACATCACGAGCGATCGGATATGCTACGGAAACAGAGGACTTGAAACCCAAAAGTGATACGTATTCACAGAATCAATACAATAAACATTTAACCGATAATTACTCATCGAATAATTCGGGTTATCGAGGAAGATATACTACAAAACCTGAAAATAATACAAACACAGATTCCATCAATGACAGAGCTTCCAATGTAAATAGTGGTCATAACTCACGATATTCCAATTCTTCAAACTCTTATTTACATCCAGACAGTTCTAATCGCTATGGTAACTCGTCAAATCAACCAGAGCGTTCTGTATCGCCTACACCTGGATATCGTATTTCGTCCCGATATCGAACTTCGTCACCTAGGCCACAAGCGTCCTTAGATACGTCTTCAGAGACGAAAGAGAACACTGCTCCTGTGTCACCATCTTTACTGGGTTCTGTGGGATATTTAGGACGATACAAACCGAGATATTCATCGAGCAGTGACCAAGGTTCGAACAGCCGACCAGCAACACCTACCAGCCAATCAGCTTCCAGATCTTCCAATGATGCTACCACAAGGGAGACAACTACTAGTCAGAGTAGCGAAGGTAGTCCAGGTTATTCTGGAAGATACCAATATAGATACCCTTCAAGGTAATGAATATTTATATTTTCATTTAAGTATTAATCTTGAAATTTCTTTTTTACATGTAATGGTATCTGATGACTTTTAGATTCAGCTTTTCAAAATAATTCTTCCAATCATTAGCAAGTGCTTCAATGATCAAGTCTAAGCCTTGAATAGTAATGGATTTAAATCAGATTGCTTAATCAATACAGAAGGTCCATATAGATGGTGCATGGTGAACTGAAGACTGTTACAATATGTGTGCTGACCAAACTTGACTTCAAAGATTGGTGTTTTCTATTTCTAGGTCCTATAACTATGGTTCAACTGTAACGTCAAACCAGGAAAACAGCCCAAAGACTGAAACAACTCAAGAAAGTCCAAAACCAGAAGTGACTTCTTCCCAGCCAGTGACGATTTCCACGACGTACAAATACAGATATCCTTCTAGATACAGCCAACAGGAAACAGAATCATCAAAATCAACAGACTCAGGGACAGCTGAGAACAAAAATACCGAGAGGGAAGATACATCAGTTTTTAGATATCCAAACAGATATTCAAGTCAATCAATTGATAATCAGAACAAAAATCAAAAACAAGTTGAACAAAATTCTGAGGATCAAGAGGAGTGGACTACTACCACAGAGACTTACAAAGTCCCTCGCTCTAGCACCAGCAGATCTCAGAACTCTCCAAATCAAACTCCAGCTAGGACATCAAAATCTGAAAACCAAAAAGAAGAATCAAAGACGTCAACAGAGTCTTACAGATATCCATATAGTAGGTCATCTTTCAGATCAACGGAAAATCAAAGCAGACCTTCCGAATCTTCCAAAGAGCTTGAAAGCAAGAAGGAAGAAGAGGAGGGTTGGACAACAACCACCGAAACTTATAAATATCCTAAATCAAAATCTTCAGTAACGTCATCAGAATCTTCAGACACTGCTTCAAGATTTCGATACCCATACACGACTAGGTATAGTTCATCTGGTAATGATGCGAAAGTAGAATCTGAGAAATCTCAAACTGACACCCAAGAACAGGAAACAAAGACCGATGTATCGTCCACCAATTCATATAGATACCCATATTCTTCAAAATATGGTTCATCTTCAACTGAAACAAAAGTAGCTGAACCTGAGCAATCCAAAGTTAAAAGTCCAGAACCTGAAGTCTCAACATCGTATTCCTATCGATCACCCTACAGCAGATTCAGTTCCAGTCAGCCAGTTACTTCCACGCCAATCAAGACTGAAGAAAAACCATCTGAGCAAGAGCAAGAACAGACCAGGAGCAGGTACACATATAAATATCCATCTCGCAACTCAAGTTATGGCAGTTCCTCAACCAACACAGAGGATAAAAAGACTGATGCTTCTGATAAAGAGTCCAATAAAGAATCAGAAGTGAAATCAACGTCATATTCCTACAGATATCCTAGAAGTAGCAGCTCACGCAGTGACGAAACTCCAAAATCTCCCAAAGCTGAGACACAAGCCAGAGAAGATGACAATGTTGTGACTCAAACATACACTTATAAATATCCATCAGGAGCTTACAACTTCAACATTCGTTCCGAACCTTCTAAAAAGTCTCTTGAATCTGAAGAGAAGAAATCAAATTCTGTCCAATCAAAAACTGATACGGAAGAGAACGATCTAGACGAGGAAGTCTTTACTGAAACCGTTTCATACAAGCTTCCTAAATCTTATGGACAACAAGTAGAAAGGTCTCAAGAGAAGATGCCAGAGCCTGAGGCTAAGACATCAAGCTCATATAACTACCAGAAAACATCAAGTAGTCCTGCCACTGAAGACAAGTCAAAGGATCAAAAGAGCTCAGACTCCGAATCAAATTCAAGATACCAGTACAAATATCGCTACCCATCTCGCTCATACAATTTCAAAACTATTTCCCAAACCGAATCTGAAGAGAAATCAGACAACCAAAGAAAAATCAGCACAAACCAAGAATCTGTGCTTCACACAGACACTGTCTCATCCAACAGATCTTCCACTGGCAGTATGAGTAACACAGCATCAATCAGTCGACAAACGTCCCAGACCAAGGAAGTCCTATCACCAGCTTTGGCACCACGATCCCCTGGTTCCAAACACATTGACAAGACTCCTAAGTATATCTTCAGTATGGGATCTAGAACAGTAGCAGAACCACAAGTTCCAAAGTCTGTGGAGCACTCAACTTCCAAAGATGAAAATGAAAATGAAGAACCAATAGTAAAAGAAGAATTGGTGGTAGGTTTTGATATTTTATCTCTACTTCAGTTATAAAAGGAGTTAAAATAATATCAGTTGTTTTGTCCAACAGAAGGAAGTTCAAATATGCACTTCTCTGTTTTTAAGGGCCACTCTTTGAAACTGATAGGACTTATTTCTTAAAAGAGTCGGATTTCTTTTGAGGTCATATTCAGGTTCTATTTACATCATTTAAAAGTTCTTGTAATTCTAAAATACTTGGCCAGAAGTTAACATTCAAATCATCTTTGCTTATGACATTTCTCCTTTGATGCCGCTTGCTTCTATCTAAATACTTTTCTTATATCTTTGCAGGAAGCTGCTGAGCAACCTGAAGAAGAAGAGGAAGATCCAGAGAACTCAATGACAGCTGAGGAATTTCTGGATCTGGCTAAACAGAAACTGGAGGAACTCCATCTAGCTGAGGCTGAAAGACTTTTCATGCGATGCCACCAGAAACTGAATGATGTGCCAGAAAATAACTACCAGAAGCTCATCGAGATTTTTTTCGGATTATCTGAGGTGTGTACGCGTAGAAGCAAACTGAGACGAAAGAGTCCTCTGGAATGGCAATGGCTGTGTGTACATGCTGCTGCTCTTCTAGCTGAAGCTGCAGAACTGTGTGCTCTGGAAGCCAAATCAGAAGATTCAGAGATTGCAGAATTTTACCAAGACAAGAGAGAATTTGCTGAAAATCGTAACAAGTCTTTGGAAGATCTTCTGTGTAGGACTTTATATAATTGGTTAGCAGATGGCTGGAGAGCTATAGATCCAACCAGAGTAGGATCACTCAATGCAATCAGGAAGACCAATATAACCTCTTCCCTGTTCCCAATGTCAAATATGCTTGGATTGAAACCATACCAATCTGGATTCTTGGCTCAAGCACTCAGCATTGAAAGTCTTCATGAGATGCCTTCATCCTTACAAGGCGCTTCATTGGATACCAAATCAAACTGGTTCAGAAGGATTCAGCTGTACTGCTTGAAGAGAATGATCAATAAGAATCGACAAGAGGTGCTGGATGAGGTCCTTCAGTTCTCCAAAGACACCAAGAAAAATGATTCTCAAGATTTGGGATCTGATGATGAAGATGAAGCTAAGGATGAGGAACAACCTCTGGAATCTCATAAGGATTCTAAAGAGGAAACTATTGGTACTGATGCAGAGCATGATGAGGAAGTACATGATGAAGAAGCTAATGCTGAAGAACACCTACAAGTCGTCAATTCACCTCTGTCACAGAAACCAGTGAAGTTAACCATTGCTAAAGTCTTCCATCGAGTTGTTGCCAGATTGATTGAGGAACAGGATTACACCAAGGCTGAGCTTCTTTGTGAGGAAATTTTACAAATTGTAGAACAGATTCAAGATGGAACTATTAGGATGCTGAAATTCAGTGGAGAGCTTCAACAGAACTTGGGCGTCCTGTGCCTCAAACAAGGTGATATTGCTAAAGGAATTGCTTGTTTGGAAGTTGCACTGAACATCTTCCGAGATTTACAAGATGGTGATGCTCATAGAGAAGTTTCCTTGGTTCTTTTGGACATGGGAAATGCGTATGTTGCTTCATCCCTCAGTGAAGATCAACTGTATCAGTCCATAATTGCAGCCATCAGAGTGTTCTTTGAAAAAGAAGCTNTTGTGATGACAGTGATCAAGGGGAAACAACTCCAGAAATGATCAGAAGCAAAAACAAGATCCACCAATGAAAGAGGAAAAGCAAAAGGAAAATATCAACGAAGCCATTCGCTGCTACCAGGAGGCGCTAGAAGTCTTGGAAGTCAATGCTCAGTCAGATTTAGAAACCATCGCTAAAGCTTTGATGAAGCTCGGTGACTGCTACTTCATTCAGACTGAATACTCCAAGGCATTGGATTCTTACGAGAAGGCAGCACCCATGTTCAAAAATGCTAATGTGTTTGGAAAAGATCATTTCTTGCAGCAGGGACATGTAATGCTTATGCTGGGAGTTGCCACCTTCATGCTTCATGTGTATCCACGTGCTGCAACGATTTTTGAAATAGCATACTCTATGGTGAAGCATGCTCATAGATTGGAGATTAACACCTTCCTTCATGCCCTTCTGTTGTCCTTGAGAGGAATAGCGAACTATAAAATGAAAGCGTACCATAAATGTGTATCACTCTGCTACCAGGCGTTCGAGATCTTCTGGAACATGCATGGTGAAGGAGTGGTGAAAGTCTCTCATGAAAGATTCTGGTTGATTTGTCAAAATCTTTACATCCTGGGAAACTCATACAATGTTCTCAATCTTCAACATAAAGCTATCAAATATTTGGACATTGGACGAGCTTTCATGAGAGCAGCAGAAATTGGTGAGAAGAGACAATTTATCAGAATTTTGAACATCCTTGGTGATTGTTATTTTGCTCAGTATGATTATAAGACTGCTCTGGTTTATTATAATGAGGCTCTGGAGATAGGAGAACCAGCTAAGGATGAGGATCATGTGGATGGTGAGGCTGCACCTGAGGATGAGATGAACCAGTCCACAGAGGACATGGCGCTCCACAATCAACTGCTCAGCAAATCAGCCGAAGCTAACATCAGTATGAACCAGTATGAAAACGCCATAGAGTATCTAGAACAGGCCCGAGACATGCAAGACGTGATGGGTGAAGACATAAAGGGGGATTTGGTCAGTACGCTTTATCAGTTGGGACAGATGCACTCCATGGCAGGAGATGTAGATAAGGCAATTGACTCTTATAAAGAAAGTTTAGAAGTGTTCAGGGAACTCCATAACACTCTAGGTCCAGAGATGTGTGTGACTCTTGGTAACCTAGCAACCATGTGTTACGTGAAGGCGTGTATTTGCGAAGATATAGACAGCGAGTTGCAAATGATTTTAGCAGCGGAAGGACATTTCCAAGATGCTTTGAAATTGGAAATGAACCAAAGCGTGTGTGTGAAATATGCAAACTTTTTATACAGTCAAGGTAACTACGAAGATGCTATCATGTATCTGGAAGATGCCTTAAAATCAAAAACTAATTTGCCAGAAATCGTGTACGGTGGACTTGAAAAAGTGACACTTCCAGAAGCTCTGCAGGATGAAGTGGATGCCCAGGAAGAGGTTGAGATGCCCTCTGTGTGCCTCGGACATTTTCTGGAAGTTCTTTCGTATAAAATGTTAGGCAAAACGAGACATTCTGATAGGTGTTTGTTGAAGTTGTTAAAAACTGTATATGACACTGATAGCCCATTTCTGCGTTCCGTGCTGGGTTATGCTTTAATGGAAATGGGACTGTTTGAAGAAGCGGCAGTGAGTTTCCGAGCCGCCTGTGAAATGGATCCTGAGTACCATCTCGCTCTAGATAATTACTGTCTGTGTTTGTGTCTTATGGTTTTGGAATCTCTGAATAGTGCTCTGAAGAATTTTTTCATTCATTATCGAATCTGGTATGATGAAATGAACCCTACTACTCCAACTATTCGTGAACTTGATATGTAGGGTATGAATACAATCGGTTTTCTTCATCTGACATTATGTTATAGTTCTCTAAGGTAGCCTAACTTACTATATTTATAAAAG